GTTACGCAGCTTCATGCGAGCTTGCTCCGAAGCGGATACGTGCTCGAAGCGATCTCGTAAGGCTGCGCCCCACTCCTTCCACGTGCGTATCTTGGTCATGTTAGAACAATAGGCATAACGAGGAGCCATAGCTAGGGTTTAGCTAGCTAGGCAAGAGAGAGATAGGCAAAAGAGGGTTGGACTAGCAACAGTTGGGATACAAAAGGGAAACCCTAAGGGGTCGTACTCACTATAGAGTACCCCACTGCAGGTTAGACAAGCATTATAATCTGACACACCCCCATAGTCAAAGTGGGGTATAATCATAACAGCAAGCAGGCATAGAGCAGGTTCACAAGGACAAGCAAAGCTAGAGGCATTCACAAAGGGCAAGTGAGGAGGAGGAGGCGAGACTGTAAGAGGAGAGGAGATAGGAGGCGACAGCTGAAGCTGCAGACACACGGGCAACAGGAGCGACACTGGCACAGTGGCTACCGAGACAGCGCCCCGGACTACTGGAGTAACTGGCTCTGCGGCTAACTCTGAGCGGCAGGAGCAACGGACCCACGGGCGACAGGCGCAGCAGGCTACTACTGGGCTACCGGAGCAGCGCCCCGGACTACTGGTGCTGCTGACGACACGACGACAGCCTCCGTTCAACCTCCCCCAACTGTCCCACCCCCCCTTTCACACACCCCTTGCTGTACCCCTAGCTCCACTCCCACGTCACCCCCCTAGCACCACTCCCTCAGCTCCCACACACCCACCCCCCTCAGCGACAGCTGCAGCAGTGGGAGACGAAGGAGGAGGAGGAGCAGGGGACGGCGCACACACCCGTCACCCCCATACCCGCCACCCCCACACTCGCCACCCCCAAACCCTAAAACGGGCAGAACAGGGCAGGAGCGCGGGCAGCAGCGTGGGGGACGGCGCGCGGCCCCCAGGGCGCCACGACGGGCGACGGGACGGGGGGGACGCGCGGCCCCCGGGGCGCCTCGACGGGCGACTGGATGGGGGGGTCGCGCCGCCCCGATGGCAACGCGACGGGACGACGCGAACGGGGGGGGGACGTGCGGCCCCCGGGGCGCCTCGACGGGCGACGGGATGGGGGGGACGCGCGGCCCCCGTGGCGCCGCGACGAGACGACGGGAAGGGGGAGGACGCGCGGCCCCCGGGGCGCCTCGACGGGCGACGGGATGGGGGGGACGCGCGGCCCCCGTAACGCCACGACGGGCGACGGGAGAGGGCGCCGCGGGGTCCCCCCGGGGCACGGCGACGGGCGACGGGAGAGGGCGCCGCGACGGGCGACAGAAGAGGGCGCCACGACGGGCGACGAAACCGCCGCGCGCGCCCGGGGCGCACGGTGGGCAGAAAACAAAATGTCGCGCGCCCGGGGCGCGCGACCAGCGGAACAGTAGCAGCGGAAGCAGTATGTGGGCCCACAGGCCAAGAGCGTAACAGCTCTGATTCCATGTCAGAACAATAGGCATAACGAGGAGCCATAGCTAGGGTTTAGCTAGCTAGGCAAGAGAGAGATAGGCAAAAGAGGGTTGGACTAGCAACAGTTGGGATACAAAAGGGAAACCCTAAGGGGCCGTACTCACTATAGAGTACCCCACTGCAGGCTAGACAAGCATTATAATCTGACAGGTCACTCCGAAGATTGAGGTTGCCCCTTTATTAGCCGATGTCAAGGTCCCGTCTGCCGCATGTGTCACACCTGTCGGAGTCCCTGTGTCCAAGGTGTGGCGCCACCATTCAAGCGCTGCGCCTCGAAGTAGAGAAACCTCGTAATTAATACGCGTGGCATCGTCGTAGACGTTCGCTGCAGTGAAGAAGACTTCAACGCTGAACAACCACCCCTTCACTGTAGTCGTCTTGTCCGTGGGATTGAACTGGGGCGGGTTCGCCGGCTTAATCTTGATCGTTGCAACTGGCGTTGCTGCCGCTCGTTGCCTGTCTTCCTCTTCGAAGCCACGTGTGAGCGCGTCCAAAGGATTGCTCATCGCTTGACTGTTGCCTTCACCTTCTTCATCGGGCGGCTCTTGACGCGTTTCACCTCGCGTCTGGCGTAGCTCGGTGTTTTCCACACGTAGTGTTGTCACCTCTGCCGAAAGAGTCTGTACTGTTGCCTGTAGCTCTTGCATTTGCGCCATCATCTTGTTCAACGCTTCCTGGTCCATGAGTCGCACGCTTCGTCTGGTGGGCAGAGGGGTATCCGTGGCCTTGCAGGCAAGAGAAAAGCAAAAACTATCGGAGTCGGGCAGGTTAGAGTTAACTAACCTTGCAGCCAACCGTTTTGCAGTCCTCTTTACCAAGCCAACCCGTGCCACCAAACTACCCTCGAAAAACGGGGTGAACTAGGAAAGTAGCTCTGATACCAGGTGTTATGAGTTGTAATGGAGAGTGCGCGGAATAACGAATAACGAAGCTGTGACTTAATGAACTGCCGATTACAATGAAGGCACACGACTATATAGTGAATACCCTAGCTAGGAGGGAACCTCGGGAAACGAGGTTGGGTTGCAGGTTTGGCGACGGAATGCCGAAGGCGACGCGGAGGAGCCTCGGTATCGTTGATGTCGGCCAAACGTGCAAGTCCGAAAATCGGGGTTGTACGCGTAGCAGTCAACCCCGGTAAGGATAAGGGAAAAATCCTTACAAGAGTAGTCTTATTGAAAGACAGAAACTCTTTTATATAAGACAAGTATACTCTACATATTTTAGTAATGATTTCTTATGTATTAACGACGGCTGATCGTTTTTATGTAACCTGATCGTTTTTTTTCAAACTAAGCTGATTGAATTGACATGCTATAAGCGATGTTGCTTGATTGTATGGCTCAACAAAGGAATAATGAAGATTTGACATGAAGCATATGGCGTTATCAATTTGTACAGACATGAAGTTTTGAAGTGTCTACCAGGTACAATACACTTCAGTGCTATGTAAACAATGTGTGCTCCAGCACTGCATCAGACTTCGATTTCGTCTTGCTGGCTGTTTGTTTGTGTGGCTGTCGCTCCCAGTCCCCCCGTCTCTTGGTGTGGTTGCACCTAACCTGGTTGGCGTCTCCCCCTTCTCCGTCAATTCTCTCATTAGCTGCACCAACCAACCGTTGTTTTTCCTCGCCTGAAGGCCCAGTTTCCAATCAAATCGTTTCAATTCGCCCTGGGCAGACAGCATATTTTTCTTCAGTCAAATCCGCTTGCCTGGCCGTTCCATTGGACGCTCGTCCTGCTCCCCTCACCTTCCATTTTGCCTCGAGCAGCTCAACCATTTCTCAGGGCGACGGAGACCTCATTTGCTGCCGCCATTCATCAGTTCGTTCCGTCAACGTCTCCGTCACCCGTCCAACATCCTGCTGCCGTCCTAGAGATCTATCTGTCTGTACAGGAAGAGTACTGTTCGATAATATCAAGGGACCATTCGGCCTTGCATCAGGGAAACAGAAGCAGAGACAGATAGACAGCAGACGGACAGACAGACAGCCCAACGGTGTTCTCCATAGACTGCCAAGCGATTGAGCCATTGACAAGGATTCCTATGAGCCATGAGCCCCTCAGCTTTTCGAAAATCCCACACCATTCGCTTTCTCCTGGCAGGACACGTAGCTAATGTAAGATTCGTGGTGTCACTCTTACGTTCTGCGTGACCGTGTGTGAACGTCAATGCTACTTGCGTGGCTGAAAAGCAGAGTGTCGCAGGGACTCTCTGGCGACCCGATCGCCATTAGGTCTTCAAATGGCAGAATTTCTCGTAGCCTTACGGTTACCTCAATGTTTTGTAGAGATGCGCGCTGTATAGCGGAGCTGTCTTTCTGGTAAGCTTATCCACATTGCAGCTAACGGCAGCCGAGGAGTCTGAATCGCGATACCAAAGGAGTATAATAATTCAGTCGCAACGCGAAGTCAGCTTCCATGGCTTATCACCACAGCTTAATCTTCGGCCTTGGCGGGATCCCGTTGATGAAATCGTCAACGGTCACGAACGCCGTCAACGACAAAGAAATCAAACCAGGCGGGTTACCAGAACCAGTTCTCGAGCTCGCGAAAAGAGTGTACCATAACACCATTCCCGCATCGCTTAGCTTGACAGGCGGCGGAACCATCGGCCGGAGCGGCACCGGAACGATCGGTAGACGGAAGAAGACGAAGAAAGACCAGCTCGGGTTTCCGCCGACGAAACCTAATCGATGCGTCGAAGAAGCCAAATTCCTGTCGATCGAGGCGGCTGCCGTCATGCGGAAGCTGCTATGGCTGTGGTCCACGATCAGCCCTGAACAGATCGAACGGCTGCGAACGAGTCTCCAGGTAAGCGAAGTCAGGTCGCGTAGCCTGTCAGGCACCAGAGGAATTTGTCGGAACGGCCCATGGATGCAACCGTAGCAGTTCTCTTGATTCGCTGAAGGAACCCATCCACGTTTCAACATTTTTGTTTTTTCATGCATTTTCTCGCATCAACACGTACATCAGGAGCGCTCGCATATTCAAGAATCTAGATTTCATTATTTCTTTCTAGCGCGAGCTGCTGCTGTTGTGCACTGGTGAATGCTCATGGTTAATGGTATTCGTTTTCGCTGAATGGGTGTCAAAATGGTGTTCTGAACGTGCGCCAATGTATTGGTGTGAGTCGACAATTGATACTCACGCGTCCATGCATTCGTGCACCCATGGTCACATTCGTACCCTGCAAATGCACTCGCTCATGCATCCATCCATGCACCTGTGAGCACATCCACACATGTGTGTGTGCATGCATCAGTAATTTCATGAGCGACCCTTTAAACGCAGTAACGCACTCAATCACATGCTCTCCCATGCCTTGGCCTTGACGTATCTTCATCACTTCCCCTCACCCGACCCCCCCCCCCCCGACCCCACCCCGCACCCATTCCACTCCCTCTCCCCCTCTCCCCCTTCTTCCCTCTCTTCCCGCCCTCTCCCCTCTCCCCCACAACCCCTTCCCGCACGCCCGTGCGTACCTCACACACCCCCTCCAGTAGGACAAGGCCGTATTCATGTACGTTTGTCCTTCTCCCCCAACCCCCCTTGCACCCACTCCGCTTACTCTCCCCGTCTCCCTCTCCCCCCCTCTCCCCTCCCCTCCCTCCCCCACCCCCGCTATGCCCGTGCGTACCTCACACACCCGCCTCAGGAGGACAAGGCTGTGCTCACCTACGTTTGCCCTGACCCCGCGCACCTGTGGACTCTAGCAGGTACGGTTCAGGAATCATCCAGGCGTGCTTCTTCTTCCCCCCCCATGCCACCACTTCCCCCCCAAATGCCCTAGCCGATCCCCCCAAAATGCCATTCCCGTTACCCCTAAATGCCATTCCCGTTACCCCAAAATGCCATTCCCGTTACCCCTAAATGCCATTCCCGTTACCCCAAAATGCCATTCCCGTTACCCCTAAATGCCATTTTTGTTACCCCAAAATGCCATTCCCGTTACCCCTAAATGCCATTCCCGTTACCCCAAAATGCCATTCCCGTGACCCCTAAATGCCATTCCCGTTACCCCTAAATGCCATTCCCGTTACCCCTAAATGCCATTCCCGTTACCCCTAAATGCCATTCCCGTTACCCCTAAATGCCATTCCCGTTACCCCTAAATGCCATTCCCGTTACCCCTAAATGCCATTCCCGTTACCCCTAAATGCCACCCCTGTTCCCCCTAATGCCATTCCCGTTCCTCCCTAGTGCCATTCCCGTTACCCCTCAATGCCATCCCCGTTCCTCATTGCCCCTGACATTTTGGATTGCCTCAACGCCCCCAACAGGGTTGGAGCTGATGGAAATGTTAGAGAAGATGGGCTAGCGAGTGGCGGCCAGCCAGCCATGGGGCTCAGGGTACTAGGCTCAATGATCCCCCAATTCCCCAACAATAACTGCTTCTCCTAAACAGTCTTGGAGCTGATGGAGGTTTTGGAGAGGATGGGCGAGCGTGTGGCGGCCGGCTCAAGGTACCTTCTAGGCTCAATGATTCCCCAGTTCCCCAACAATAACTGCTTCTCCCCAACAGGCTTGGAGCTGATGGAGGTCTTAGAGAGGATGGGCGAGCGCGTGGCGACAATGCAGCTCAAGTGCGGGTAGAGTTTATTGAAGCTTTTCTTGTCATTCACTGTTGTCGCAACGCCCTCTCTCCTCAACAGGTTTGGAGCTGATGGAGGTCTTAGAGAGGATGGGCGAGCGCGTGGCGGCCATGGGGCTCAAGTGCGGCGAGAGGCGGCTGCACCAGCTGGCAAACGTGTTTGGGGAGATGCGGCACCCCGAAACCGTCTTCTCCCACTTCAGGCTCGACGCCCACGAGCAGGAGACGCTGTTTCGGTGAGCTGTTCGTGCTGAGGTCTGCAGAACAGGCTTATGCCGTGTGTGGGGTGGGACAATGCTCAGGCCCGCAACACAGGAGCGTGAAGCAATCTTCTTCTCCCACTTCAGGCTCGACGCCCACGAGCAGGAGACGTTGTTCCGGTGAGCTGATCGATGTGCGTGTGATGGGGGGAGGGGGGGTGCAACGCTCAGGTCCGTAACACAGGAGGGTGAAACAACCGCCTTTTCTCACTTCAGGCTCGACGCCCACGAGCAGGAGACGCTCTTCTGGTGAGTGAACCATACAGCATTGGGAGGTGCGCAGGTACATGGTGTTTGATTTGCAGGGATGATCTGTGTGGCCATGTGCGAAGCGACTTTTTCCCCCCACCCCTCTTCTCCTCCTTCGCCTGCCCTGCCCTTGCAGCTTCATGCAGGAGGAGGTGGAGAGGCTGGGGGACGTGCGCAGCTGCATGGTGTTTGGGTTTAGGACCCTAAACGCTTTGTCTCCCACCCCCCACCCCCCTTTCCCCTCCTTCCCACTGCGTTCAGTTTCATGCAGGAAGAGGTGGAGAAGCTGGGGGACGTGCGCAACTGCATGGAGCGACTCAACACTCTGCGCTCGCTTCTCAGGTGAGATGGATGGATGGGTGTGAAAGATGGCTGCTATGTAAAAAACTGACCAATGCTCATTATGGGGCTGAGGATGTGTGCAATGCATGAACAAGGCGAGTGGGTGGAAGGGAGGCTGAACAGTAGCAAGCACACCTATACGCGAGGTCTCTGCACCTAATCGCCTTAAACAACCAAGGGAAATGGTTGCTATCGTGTTTTGCTTTCCAACCATTTCCTTCCATTCCTTGTCGCCCTTTTCATGAACTACCTGTTCTTCTCATGCTTCACCCTTGCCCTATTCTCTTCACTCCCTTTCAGAAAGAAGAAGCCTGCACCAGCCACAAGCCTTCTGTCTGAGCTGCAAGCTGCCTCAGCGTACGTCTCTGTGTCCCTCTTTGCTTCCCGTTCACTGGGTGTGCTCCTGTGTATTTCTATCTGTGTTACTGCTCTCTCCTCCCTCCCTCCTGCGTCCTGTCGCTGTTCTGTCGCACGCTTCTCCCTCCTACATCGCTTCTCTCCTCCTCCCCCCTTTTTCCCACCCACCCACCACCACACCGTCCCATCCGTATATACAACAGTGACGCCCTACCCTGGGCGATGGCGAGGGGAAGGAGGAGGCAGAGAAGGAGGGTGACTCATCCTCGTGGCTGTTAAAACCTCCCACCCAACCAACCAAAGCCCCTACCCCCATCCCCGCTCCCTTCCACCCTTCCCCACCTGCCACCACACCTTCCCATTCCTATCCACAGTGACGCCCTGGGCGACGGCGACGGCAAGGAGGAGGCAGAGAAGGAGGGCGACTCGTCCTCGTGGATGCCTCGCTGCGACCTGCCAGGGGCCGAGGAGATCCTCAAACTGGTGGGTCACTGGGTTGGTGCTGTGGGGGGGCGCAAGGAGGGAGGAGGCAGAGAAGGAGGGCGACTCGTCCTCATGGATGCCTCGCTGCGACCTGCCAGGGGCCGAGGAGATCCTCAAATTGGTGCGGTTACTGAGTCTGTGCGGCTAGCTACCATGCTACTGGCTTATGCATGCAGCGTCATGAACCATGAGCCCATTGTACTTCATAACACACGTTCAGTGCTAACGTTCTTCCATGCACTGAATGCCTGTCCACCTTCACTTTACCCTCACTTTACCTCCACAGCTCTTTCCACTCCTTTCCACCCCCTCTCTACCCATCTTACCCCTGTTTTTTCCCCATGCTTACCATGCAGACGGCAACCATCTCAGAGCTGCAGAGCCGGTGCCTGTGGTCTGTTGAGCTGGACCATGTCGTGCGGGTGAGTGCAATCGGTCTTTGTGATTGATCGTTCAAGGGAGAAGAAGGGACCGTGTGTGTGGTGGGGGTGAATGAGTGCAGTCTGTGCTGCAGGCATTCATCAGAGCTGCAGAGCCGGTGCCTGTGGTCTGTTGAGCTGGACCATGTCGTGCGGGTGAGTGCAATCTGTGTGGGCATTCATGAATACAGCAACAAATAAAAACGAAACCCAAGGAGCGCGATTGGGTCACGCCATGCGGGTGAGTGCAGTCTGTGTGGGCATTCATGGATAGAGCAGCAAAGCACATGTCATGGGACGAGAGCGGATGGACCATGCAGTGAAGTTGAGTGAGTGCCAGCCACCCGTACTGAGTTGAGCCTTGAGTCTCTGCATCCCACCATACCATCCCACCATCCCATCCCCACCAGCTGCTGGTGCTGGCGATCATCCTCCTGAGGGACAGAATCATCTCCGTCTTTGCCATCAACGCCCGCTCCTCCGATGCCTTGACTCGCGAGGGCTCCCTGGGCCGCGCTGGGCTGGCGCTGCGCTACGCCAAGGTCATCAATTTGGCGGAGAAGCTCATGAAATACCCCTTCATGGCTGCTGGCAGCACACGGTGGGTGGGGATAGGCTGAAAGAATGTTGAGTTATTGCATGGGATGACTGAATACGGGCTGAGTGACTGCTGTAAGGAGTACACTGGCGCGGGGGTGGCGCTGCGCTACGCCAAGGTCATCAACCTGGCGGAGAAGCTCATGAAGTACCCCTTCATGTCTGCTGGGAGCACACGGTGGGTGTGGATAGGCTGAGAGCTTGTAGAATGATCACATGGGTAGGGTGCATACAGGATGAGTGACTGTAAGGAGCACACTGGGGCTGGTGTAGTGCTGCGCTACGCCAAGGTCATCAACCTGGCGGAGAAGCTCATGAAGTATCCCTTCATGGCTGCTGGAAGTACAAGGTGAGGTACAAATAGGCTCTGTAGAGTGCATACAGCCTGAGTGATTGTAGCTAGCAAGCACAGTGGCAGTGGGCTAGCGCTGCGCTACGCCAAGATCATCAACGTGTGGATGTACCCCAAGTTGTTACATGACCTGGCATCCCCACGTAACCTGACACTTCCTCAAGGTGCCACTATCAGGCCACAAGCCCCCCAATAGTCTGTGTGGCAACCTGCACACAGATTTGACGTAATAAATATTGCTTATGAATGGGGGGAGAATTCGTGGTTAGATGATGGCGTTTCGAGAAGGCAACAGGTTAAAGGCTGATGCCAGATCGTGTAGCAACTTGGGATACTCCAAAGAATCCCTTTTCCCACTCAACCCCTTCCACGTCTTCTCCTCCCACTCCTAAAGACAAGCTGCCCCATGGCCTCCAAACATAACAGCTGCTCTGCTTTTTCCTTCCCTCACATTCCACCCTTTGTCCCTATTTCCCTGCGTCCAGGGACGAGCTGTACGGCCTGCTGACCTACAGCACCAAGAAGGACCTCGCCCTGCGGCTATCCCGGCTTTAGCTTCTGTCCTCCTCCCATCTCCCCACCCCTCTCCCCCATTTCTCAATTTCCGTGTTTCCTTCTCTCCAGGGACGAGCTGTACGGGCTGCTGACCTACAGCACCAAGAAGGACCTCGCCCTGCGGCTATCCCGGCCTGTGACCTCCTCCAAGAGCAAAGACACCAAGGCAGAAGAAACCGGCAGCAAGGGTGCTGGCAAGAAAGGGGAGAAACGAAAGGATGGAGACGAGGATGAGGATGATGGGGATGATGGGGATGATGATGATGATGATGATGATGGATTTACTTGGTTGAAGAAGCCTAGTCCGTTGAATGACCCGCGCGGTTTGGGTGGGAAAGGAGGAGGGGGAAAGGGAGGGGAGGGGGATGAGGAGGACGAGGATATGGAGGAGTGGGAGAGGCGCATGCGGAAAGCGTTGAGTCTGCTGCCCCTGCTGGCGCAGCACACGATTGCATGGAACGATGCTATCACTGTGAAGCCCTCGTCGAACCGCAAGGCAACGCGTTTGCTGAGAGTACAGGTGAGGGGAGACGAGTGAGGCGAATTGGTGTCATGAGCACCGTGAAGGTACTTGCAAACCGCAAGGCCACCCGTTTGCTGAGAGTGAGGAGACAGGTTTAGCTACTGCTGGCACATCACTGTGTCACCCAACCTCTCTTCCCCTCCCCTCCCTCTCCTAACCCCCCAGAAACTCTACCATTTGCAGAAAGCAGTGATCGACTCCTCTCTCCTTGACGCCCCGGAGGGTACCTGAACATTTCGAACCACCCTCCCTCCGTTGTCCCTCCCTTTCTCTCCCCCCGAGACCCTCTACCACGCACAGAAGGCGGTGATTGATGCGTCCCTCTTGGACGCCCTGGAGGGGGTGTCTCGCCTCGTTGCCTCAGACGCCTCCAACCTCACGCAGCCCAACTCCCGCAAGATGGGCATGAAGGCACGGGCACGCTGTCAAGGGGGCTTTTGAGGCGATCGAAAGGGCGAAATTAAAGGATGCCATCACTGTGCCCCCTAACCCCTCTTCCCGTTCCCATCATTCTCCCTCTCCATCCTCCTCTCCCCCACCAGACCCTGTACCACGCACAGAAGGCGGTGATTGATGCCTCTCTCCTCGACGCTCTGGAGGGGGTATCCCGCCTCGTCGCCTCCGATGCCTCCAACCTCACGCAGCTCAACTCCCGCAAGATGGAAGCTGTAGCTGCCGAGGCCCGCAAAAAGCTCGACAAAACTTCCGCAGATTCCAAAAAGCCCCGCGCGGTCATGATCTCGGGGATCTTCAAGCCTAAGCGCGCCGCAGCAGGGATCGTGCACGGCGCGCCGCTGCCCATGGTGTTTGAGCCGGCGACAGAGGTGGGGAAGGTGACGGAGAAAGGGAAGGCCCCGGAGCTGTCGCCGAGGGGTGCTGTGCCGCTTTCGCCCACTGGGGCGTCTGCTGCTGAGCCTGCTGCGAGTTTTCTGGTGAAATCTGGGTCGGTTTCGGCTCCCAGGTCGGTTTCTCCTGCTTCTGCTTCTGCTGCTGCTGCTGCTGCTGGTGCGGCCTCTGCCCGGACTAGGTTTCCCACGTCGGCATCCGTTTCTGTTGCTGGCTCTTCTGCTGCTCCCTTCAGGTCATCTGACTTGACTCAGAGAGCCCCCCGCCCTCTCCCTGCACTACCAGCAGCAGCTGATGCATCCACCCCAGGCCAAACCGCACCTCTGCTCTCTCCCTCTCTCCTCGCTCAGTCTCTGCTCTCCACCTCCTCTCTACCATCTTCCCAGATATCTTCACTCGTCGAAGCCACCCCTTCTCTGTCTCCTCCCCCCTCTGCCACACCTCCCACCCCACCACCACCTGACACCCTCGACTCCCCCAAAAGCCCTCTGAAACCCCGACCTCCCTCACAGCCCCCCGTGCGCCCCCCTTTCCGTGGCTCGGCCGCTAATAGCGTGGACTTATCTGTGGGAGGTGACAACCCGAGGTCTCCCAGGGGGTTTGTTCGGGCTGGGGCTGAGGCGTCAGGGGGTTCTGCTGGGGCTGGGAATCTGGATGGGCCGCCGCGGTCCCCACGTGCTTATGTGCACTTCGCTGATCCACCTGCTGGTTTGGGTGGTGAACGCAGTGGCAGTAGCAGCAGTGGGAGTGGGAGTGGGAGCGGGGATAGGGCCGAAGCAGCAGCAGCAGGTGGATTCAGGGAAGGTGCAACCAGGGACGGTTCATCTAGCCCAGCATCACCCCACGGCCTTTCTAGACTCAGCCCCAGCACCCCCTCCAACAGCACCACCCCAGACAGCAGCCATGCCAACCGCCCAGTGAGCCCTCTCGGCCAATCACACCGCTCCACGCCCTCCATTACAATCATACCACCGTCCCACAGCCGAGTGTCATCCACCTTCCGAGCGCCCGTGCCCCCCGCCCTCCTGTCGCCCACGTGTGTAATCTACGACTCCACTCCCAAGTCCCCGGCGCCTGTGGCGAGCCTGCAGCGGCTCAACGCAAGGAAGGAGACGCGTGACGAGCCGTTTGTCACCACTGAAGGGCTGCTGGCACAGGCACAGGCAGAGGCCCTGAAAGCACAGGCCTTGAAAGCACAAGCAGAGGCTGTGAAAGTACAGGCAGAGGCAGAGAGAGACGTGCAGGCACAGGCGGTTCCACAGCTGACAGCTCAGGTGTCGTTCTCTTTGGACAGGTCTATCTGCCAAGAAAGCCAGTCTGCTTCGTCTGAATTTCCTAAGACCCGTCCCTCGACCGCTCCTGCTTCTGCTGCTGCTGCTTCTGTTGCAGCTACTGCACACCCCCCTCTGTCTGCCTCACCCTCTTCCCCACTTCCCGTTTCCCAACCCACCTCTTCGCCAAGCCCTCGCCCCTCCACTGCCCCCTCCTCCTCCTCTCGCCCCACCACCCCATCTTCCCGCCCCACCACCCCCTCCTCCCGCCCCACCACCCCTCCATTGAAAACCTCTCTACCCTTCCTGCTAGGCACCTCCTCTCGCCCCACCACGCCTCCCATGCTAGGCTCTTCTTCCAGTGTCTCCTCTGGATCTGTCATGTCCAGCCGCCCATCCGATGCAATCACGTGTGAGTGCCGCACGGGGCTGGGGTTGCGCAGAGACAGGCTTCGGAACGTGTGGATAGAGAGGGATGACGATGATGATGGGGAGTGGGACGGGGGGCAGGACAGAGAGGGGGATGGGGAAGGGGATGGGCGGAGTCTGAGGGATGGGGCGGGGGGTGGGGCAACCCCGCCTAGGTCGAGGCGGAATTCGATCAGTCGGAGCATTGGAGGGGCGCTGCGGGTGCTGCAGAGAGGAATGAGCGAGCAGGAGAGGGGCCGGCACAGCAGCTTGAGGGGGAGCAATTTAAGTATGAGTATGAGCAGCGGAAGTGGGGCTGGGAGTTTTGGTGGGCGGGGGAGTTTGAGAGGAGGGCAAGGGAGTGGCCTTGGTGGTGGGGGAGGGGGAGGGGGAGGGGCTGGCGGTGGTGTTGGGGGCGATGGCAGTGGTGATGGCGGGAGTGGTGGTGTTGGCAGCAGTGGTACTGGTGGCGGTATCAGTGGTAGTGGTGCTGGTGGTGGTAGGGTTATTGATGCCACCCCTGCTGCTGCTGCTGCTAGCGGTGCAGTAATTGCTGGTGGAGATAGTGCAAGTGGTGCAGTAAGTGCTGCTGCTGCCGGTACTGCTAGTGGTGCTGGTCCTAGTGGTGGTTCTGGTGGTGGTCCTGCTGCCAGTGTAGCTGCCAGTAGTTTTCACAGCAAAAGTGTTACCGGTGATGGTAGTGTCGCAAGCAGGGGAAGGATTAGTGCGGGTGGTGCCGGCAATGGTGGAGGTGGGAACCATGGTGTTGGAAGCACGGGCGGAGGAAGCATGTCCAGTGCTACAAGCAGCAACATACATTTTTATTCTGGTGGTGGCAGCGCTAGTGGGAGCACAGACAGTAGGATTCCGTTCGGATTTGAACGGCCTTTACCAGTTGTGAAGCGGCCGACTAGCAGTGGAGGCAGGAGGCCAACAAGTAGTGGTGGTAGAAATGGAGAGGCTTTGCCGAAAGCTTCTCCCAAAGAGATTGATGGCGACCAGCCGGCAGAGCTCCAGCGAGCATCTACTAGAGGGTAGCTCACTTCACTATGCTGAAATGCAAGCTTTCGCTTGTTGGTGTAAGCTAGTAGGGTTGTGTTGTGGATGTGTTATCGTTTTTTTATTTGGGTTGTTTAGCACTGTAGGCATTCCCGTTTCCACTCTTTTGTTGCGAGCAATGCCATGTGATGGTCTCATGACTCTCAGATCACGTGGCAGCTTGGCAAACCGCACAGGAATTAGCGGAGTGGCACTGCAAGTGACGTGGTCACGATTCAAGCCACGTCTTCCAGGAGGCAAAGGGGTTGTGTTTATAGCGAGGGACAGTCTCAGTTCCCTCGTGAGACAATCTTCTGTGCCTTCGAGAAGCCCCCGCCCAAGCGAGCGGGGATGCGAGCCGATTGGCGACAGTCGCCATCCCTCGTTATCCATCTTGTCGTCAGCCTGTCAAGTTGCGCCTTTCCGTCACCTTGCACGCCGGCCGTCAAGTCGAGGTGCTCCACCGTCAGCTCGGATATTCCAACTGTCAGGCATCGAAAGGAATCATCCGCTAGCGGAACGTCAGCAGGCAGCACTGTTCTTACCTCGGGAACTCATGGTTCCAGGAACTAGGGAGAAAGGCTTGCAGCCAGGAACATGCTTCAGGAATTAGGAGCATCAGGAACTTCAGACCGCCAGAAGCAATTTTAGGAACGTCGGGAGTTTGAGCGAGCTCAGAAATCCGTCCGTAGTTGAAAGACTACTCGTTGAAGCTTGCCTAGACGCTTGAGCGCCAGGGACAATCAACGTTTTTGGATGAACGGTTCTCGACAGTTGTAGTATACAAGTTCTTAGAGCTCAAAGAGGTCCACCGCTATTAATGCAGTACTGCTTGTAAAAAAAAGTTCGTGTCAAGTCGACGCGAGCTGTTGATTATAATTTTTAGAGTGAGCGAGGAGTAAAGCGAAGGACATTGCGGTGAACAGGAGTGCTTGCGAAGTACACAGACCTTACACGGTGTCATTTCGCAAGGCTATTTGATAATTACGTTCCTTGGATAGTGTGAATAAGAGGCTCGTGGGAAGACTTTTTTCATCTAAGCGCTCATCCAATTTGACGATATCACGCGTTGAAATCTACACCCAGCTCCCGTCCAGCCGTCGGGTTTCGTCTAGATTCCTCCATCCATTCTTGCAATCTCAGAGTGTGTATTCCCTGACCGGACCGCAATGGCAGCTGCGATGATGAACCTTGCAGGTAACTAGCCGAGATAGAATGAGACACAGTTATCCAGTCTTAGCATCTGACATCTCCCCAACTTTCCAGTACTCAAGCTGTCCACCGTAAGCTTATTATGATTTATCGTTCACGTGATCTGATTCATCTTCGACATTCTTGCAGCAGAAATGACGGTCAGACCTTCCGCACCAGCCGGTGCCGTGGTGGCTGCGACTCGCTCAGGCTCCTCCGCTCGAGTAGCCACGCCGGTCTTACCACCTCTTAAAGTAAATAGTTATTCTGATTATGCTTCAGATTCACATGAGTCTAGTCTCCCGTGAACTCGTATAGAAGTTTTCTTGCTGCTGAAGAACAGCTTTTTTTTTTTCGCCATAACCACTCCCTCAGTCTCCACTGCTCCCTACCAGTTCGTCGCCCTTTTGCTAACCGCTTGTGAGGTCACTGTTTCCCATTCCGACGCAAAAAAGCTTCGTTGTGTACCTCCCGGTAACATCTCCCCAACTCTGGATTCTCTCCCCAATTCTGGCTCTCAGCCTCAGAAAGCACTGTCACATCGCCAAGCATCCGCTCAACAGAGTCCGGAACGCGTGCAGATAGCGTCAATGCCAGAGCAGGAACCTTTCGAGCTGGGGGACATGGCGAGGTGGCGTCTTGTGTTCAGCGCGCTTTTTCACGCCAACGGGTTGGCAGAGGAGGCGGTGGAGATTCCTAGGTCTGGACACGCTGGGATTTCAGGTCAATCTGAGACGGTGGAGATTCCTGGTCATTTCAGTGCGGAGCGTGAAGAGTGAGTTTTGTTCCTGCTTTTTATCGATTTCTTTGTGTTCTCCTGCGTTCCGTCCATTAACTCGTCTTCCCCCCTCCCTCTGTTCCCTCCTCCAGCCTGCAGATCACGCAGCATGTAAGGGATGGCGGTCTCCTTCCTTTAGGTGAGTGATGTGAAGCATATGCATCCACAGTCCGACCGACTTATCTTACTCCCACTGATTTTTTCTTGATACACTGCAATTTTTCCTTCCTGATATGTGTATTGCAGTTTCCATGACCGGAGAAGAGACAAGGGTGGATGCGGAACAAGTTAACAGCAGAAAGGTACGTGATTGGACAGGCTCAAGCCGTGCTGTCTGTTTTCTCGTTAGTTCTCCTACCTGCATTCACCTTTCATTCAGCTATTGATGGTGCCCCCTTCTTCCTCATCCCTTCTTCCCCACTTTCGCTTTCTCTCTCCCTTGTTCTTCTTCTCTCCCCCACCTTCTCCCCTGCTGCACACGGTTCCCATCTCCCCTGCGCAGTTCCCCCACCAGCATGTACTGGAAGTTGCCACTTCCGAGCCACCTGGTAGCACCCAGCTCCAGACAAACTTAGAGGTACTGTCGCTTAATACCAGGCTAAAGAAGTTGCAATGTTATGGCAGTCCAATGGCTTATTTTTCTCTCTCAGGCATGCGTGCTGTCCCTCCTTGAATGGATTCTGGTCCTCCCATCCCATACTGTTCGTCAAGCTATCCGCTCCTCCGTATTCGTCCCCCTTGTGTTTGTGTGCGTCTTTGTGTCGTCGTGTGCATGTTGCATCTGCAGCCGAAGAAGGATAGTGAGCTGCGGGACGACTACTATGTGAACGTGGGGTACGCCATCAGAACACTTCGGGAGGAGCTGCCTACTCTCTTTTACCGGGACATGACGTACGACATCTACAGGTGTGTACTCGAGAGAAATATACAGTGCTGTGTTCGGTCTCTCCCCGCTTGTCCATTTGAGAAAACCTCACCTTCCAATTCAATGAACACATACATAGGCATCGACCAATAATGTGTTCACGCGCCTCATGTTTTAGTATTTCCGCCCCCGTCTGTGCTTCGTATGCTCGGCCATTAAGGAAGCCATAACCGTCCAGGACCCGATGAACACGTTAAGGGCGTGGACAACAACTACCCCTTTTATGCGCCTCAGAAATGTATATGTCTCCTCCATCTGTGCTTCCCTACCCTCGCCTCGGCCATCAGAGAGGACATAACTTTCCAGGACCCGATGAACACGTTTAAGGGTGTCGACAACTACCGCCTGATCTTCAAGGCGCTGCGCTTCCACGGCAAGATCTTCTTCAAGGCGCTCTGGGTGGACGTGCTGCGCGTGTGGCAGCCCAACGAGCGCACCATCCAGATCCGCTGGTCCGTCCGCGGCATCCCCCGCCTCCCCTGGGAGGCCCACGGCCGCTTCGACGGCACGTCGGAGTATAAACTCGACAGCTCGGGAAAGATTTACTCGCACAAGGTGGACAATATTGTCATGAGCGACCCGCCGAAGTATCAACCGTTGACGGTTATGGAGCTGCTGCGTCTGTCAGGGGCGCAGACCACCCCCACCATCTCGTGCTCCTGCAGAGTCTCCCCGTCGGTTTCTTCTCCTGTGTCTCCCTTGGAGGGGTCTGGGCCGGGTTTGCCGTCGTTTCAGCAGCTGTTGGCGGAAGGAGCGGTGTTCCTGGCGATGGTTAGTAGGTTTACCTGGATCAGGTTTTACGGTGCGCTTAGTGGGACACTTGCGTTGCGGAAGCGGCGTGGGGGCGGTGAGGGTGAGGAGGAATTAGCTGCTTCGTCAGGTTAGGGTTCACGTATGGGTTCTGGGTGGTGACGGGATGATGGTTAAACCGTGTGGGTTTTGAATGTGTTGGCTGGAGGGTTGGATGTGATGGGTTTGAAAGTATGGTGCTTAGAAGGTTTTTTTTTCTTATGTTGCTGTACAGGGAGCTTCGATATTGTAGCTCCTCTTAGGTGAGTGAAAGGTGGATATGTGAGTACCGGAACAGTATTAATGTGAACATTGTGTAAGGCTAATAAGGTGATTATGTATTGTCGTTTCAACTATAATTCTCGGGATAAACATATTTTTAGCTGAAGTCCTGTATCGAGGATGGCAGGCCAAGTTTACAAGCCAATCAGCTGTGAGCAGCCGGGAGCATCTGGCTGCTCAAGCACCAATGAGCGAAGAGCAGAACACAAAGCTCAGCGTGTTCGACGTGGTAAGGCCAGATAATGAGTTGGCGATACCCAAACCTCCTGGATTCTCGGCCCAAATGCCCACGCTGGCATATTGGGAATACTGCAGTCCATGTCTCCGCCAAACAATGCGACACCAGGTTCAACCGAACGGAACCGTAGACAATGAAACTGATCCCTATCACTTCTCCACCTATTTTCAGCTTTCTTGAATTCTACCTTTCAGTCCCCATTCCCCAGGCAAGGCTTTTCACAGATCAGTGAGAACCGCTGCTGGTTGCCATTGGTGACCGCCGTTGCTGACCAGCTGACCACCATTGCCGTCTTGCGATCCTTCCATTGCGTCGTCGTTGCCCCTACAGCTTTGATATTCTGGCATTTGCCTTTCAGGGAAGAACGCAACGGTGTAGCATCGCCAGCCGAGGCGTATTATTTCCTGGTCGATTCGTGACGCCTAAAAAATAAGTAAAATAAGAAAAGCCCACCGAATACTCCAGCGTGCTTTCTGCGCATCTCCCACATCCATGGCTTCCGCGTCCGTCTCATTGCTCCGGCGAGCCTCCAGGCCGATCCTCGCTGGTCTTTTCGGAGGCGCACTCTCCGTTGCCGCGAGGCAGCACCTCACCAGCTCTTGCTCCTCCTCCGCCGCCGCTGCAACCGGCGCAGCCGCTGCGGGGCTCCGGAACGCAATGGCGGGCTTCCACTCGTCCGCGTGTCCGGCAGCGGATTTGTCGCAGTCGTCTGGGCCGTCCGTGACGGAAGAGACTGTGTCGCTCGTTCAGGCGTCCGATAAAGGCATTGGACTCGCTTTTGTAAGCTGCTTGAATCGCGATTTTATTCAGACCGTATGTTGATTCATTGGAACAGTGTCGTTCGTTAAGGCGTCAGATAGTTAGGTCGATTTCTCGCGTTTCGTAAGAACCTCATCCTCCAGTTCGTACTTCGCATTCTAGGACATCTGCATTTTCTTCTTTTTTATTCCTTTCCTTTCTTTCCTTGTAAACTTGTAATCCCAGCAACGCTGTGGTCGTGTTCTTCAGCTCTCCTTTTTCTTTCTACTCCAGTCGGTCCATTCCCTTCCTATCCTCCTTGATCTGCTTTCGCGTTTCCACTCTCTTTTGTTTCCCTCTCACACTGTTCTACGCGCTATCCTCTTTCCCCGGCTTTTCTTCCTTGATTGTCACGTGGACAGGTGGAGCAGCTGCTGAAGCGGCATCCAACTGGCCGCGTCATTGCCACGTGTCGAGATCCGATGGGCGCTCAGCACCTGGACGCACTTCACGACCAGAGCGGTGGACGGCTGGATGTGATGCAACTGGATGTGACTAAAGAGGATACCATCGAGGTAAGGAGGCCCATTATGAGATGCGTGTGATGCAAGTAGGTGTGATTATAGAGGATAGCATTGAAATGAGGGCTTGCGCACAGGCCTGGAGAATCACAGTTAACTTCTGGATGTGACTATAACGAGGGTCTCGAAATCATTATAATGGGAAACACGGACGATTACCGGAGAGCGTAATGAGACTGTTTCAGACCACGCAGGGGATCGTTGAGCACTCCTGCGGTTCTACACCTGCGAGTGTCAGGTGTGCTTATTCATGCCTCTCCCCGACAGCGACCACAATTGTTACCTCCTCCTCCCCTTTCCCTCCCCCCTTCCTCTCCCCCTCTTCCCCCTCCCATTCTCCTCTTCCCCGACACTCTCGCTCTGCTCTCCCTTTCCACACCAAACCCCAACCCCTCCTCCCCTCTTCTCTGCCCCCTGTCATCACATCATGCCACCAGGCTGTAGCAGCAGCCGTGCGTCAGCAGTACGGGCAGCTGAACTAGCTGCTCCACGTGGCACCCGATGCCCCTCTCTTCCTCCCTCCTCTCTTCCCGTCCCACCCTTCCCTCTTACCCCTCCTCTCCAACCCCCAAACCCCCTTCTTCTATCACATTTCCCAGGCTGTAGCAGCAGCGGTGAGGCAGAAGTACGGCAAGTTGGACCTGCTGCTCAACGTGGCAGGGGTGCTGCACCGCCCCAACGAGCTACAGCCGGGTATGCTGCTACAGCCAGGCTACAGCTGGGTGCTACAACTGGGTATGGCTGCTTACATTACTGGAACGGGATGAATGCTGCACCCTGTTCGCTGGCACAGCTCGGATGGACGGACATGTGTGTTTGTTGCACAGTTCGCTGCGCTGTCTGAGCCATGATGCTATGCTGCCGTCTGTGCCAGGAAGCCATGCTTCTAGACTGACAGCGAGACCAATTGGATTACCCTCTTCCCCTTCCCTTCCTCCCTCCCCCTCACCAGAGAGAGCAGTATGCACTGGCTGTTCCAAGACAGGACGCCATGCTGCTGGGCTGGCGGTGAGGCCCATCGGATCCCTCTCCACCCCCTTTGTTCCCTCGCCCCCCTCCATTCCTTCTCACTCCCCAAACCCAACCCCCCTTCCCCACCCCCCCTCCTCCCCTCCCCAGAGAGCAGTCTGCACTGGCTGTGCCAGGACGCCATGCTGCTGGCATACCGAGTCAACGCCATGGGGCCCATGCTCGTGCTCAAGGTGAGTCAACGCGAGTCAATGCGAGTCAATGCATGTCAAGCCATGGAGAGCTTAAAGTGATTCGACACGAGTCAATGCCATGGGGCCCATGGTGGTTCTCAAAAGATGAGTCACTGGCATGCTCGTTTTCAAAGTGAGACGCTGGTGGGTTGGGATGGGATGGCCTGACATGGGCTTGGATGGAGCGACATGGGTGCATTGCAATGCGGTTGGCTGGTTAATGTCAAAGCCATTACGGTGCAAGACGCAGCCATTCCATGCCCCTCTCTCCCACAGCACATGATGCCACACCACACCACATATCGTGCTCCAATGTTCCATCGACTCCGCTGGTTTTGGTTTTTTTTTTTTTTTTTTTTTTTTTCGCAGACACCACTGCATCTCTTCCTCCCCCCTCCCTACCCTCCACCGTACCCCATCCCTCTTCCTCCCCCATCTGGCAGCACATGATGCCGCTGCTGGTGACAGGTGGCCACACCAACCCCAACCGCCCCTTCTCCATAGTGGCTAACATGAGCTCTCGCACCGGGTCCATCTCTGATAACCACATTGGGGGATGGTACTCGTATCGCGCGTCCAAAGCTTCTCTCAACCAATGTGAGTCCAGTGGTGCTGGGGAATGTGCTGGGTGAGTGACGGCCACACCAACCCCAACCGCCCCTTCTCCATAGTGGCTAACATGAGCTCTCGCACCGGGTCCATCTCTGATAACCACATCGGCGGCTGGTACTCTTACCGCTCATCCAAAGCTGCTCTCAACCAATGTGAGTCCAGTGGTGCCCCATGGTGGTGGCGAGTGGGAATTTTGAGACGTCTCAAAAGTGCTCCATGGTGGTGGTGGCGAGTGGGAATCTGCTCGTAACGGGTGGCCACCTTTTTACCCTTGCCTCACTCTCCCTCCCCCTTCCCTCCCCCCTCCTCTTCCTCCCAGTCACCAAGACGGCAGCAGTGGAGTTGGCCGCCCAGAAGAGCCCAGTGGTGGCCGTGCTTCTACACCCCGGCACTGTAGACACCGACCTTACCCGCCCATTCACTTCGCACTTGCCGGCCGATAAGATCTTCACGCCGGATTTTGCCGCTGACCAGCTATTGGATGTTATCGATGGGTTGAGTGAGAAGGACAACGGGCGGTTTATCGCATATGATGGCACTGACGTGGCGTGGTGATGTGATTGGTAAGGTGTTTACAGCCACGAACGATGTGCTTAGATGATTGATAGCTATCTGGAGGCGTCTCAAGTTACCAAATGATGTGCTTACTGTATGCATACAGCATCTGAGTAGTGAATGGACATATTTACAGATGTTGTTAAGGAAGAAATACCTCTGTAAACAACATTCTCAAAAAGGAATCTTGTTTAATTTTGTGTTGCAGTCGCACCATGTTGTATCGCGTACCCATCACTCGTATCGTATTGTGACCCTCCGCTTTGCACTCTGCCAATTTACTCATTTCGTTCCCCAAGCCCCCATTTTTCCACTCGCTTGCGTCGCGCTTAGCATTTTGCGTTCAGTGCTTCCGCCTCTCGCGTCTTCCGCGGAACCGTAGCCCGCGTCGACACGTCCCCATGGCTGCGCTTGCCGCGCGAGCCGTCTCCGCCGCTGCGGCTGCTGCGTTCCCGGCGTTGCCGCCGTCCCATCGGCGCGCTTCGCTAGCAGCCAGAAGCACGTCACTGCGGATAGGAGGGACGGGGAAGCGCAGCTGTAGCAATGGCGGGTTTAACAATGGCGGCTGTAGCCGCGCGGGGAGGAGGGGTGGGGCTGTCGTTGCGCTGGCTGCTCCGCCTGAAGCCGTGACTGCGATTGTGGAGAGCGGAGCTGCCACGATGGTGGGAGAAACGTCTGCTGTGGCTCTCACCGCCCGCTCTCTCGTCCGCTCTCTTTCTCTCAGGCTTTCCTCCTTGCTTGCTCCAAGCTGCATGTCTCGACCCTCCCCTTTCCCGCCCAAACACACACACGTGTTTGCATTCCTTCTCGTTCACTCCTTTCACTCCTCTTACCCTCCCCATTCCCTCCCTTGACCTATCTTTCCTCTCTGCCCGTCTTCACCTTCATCCTCCTTCCCCTTCAGTCCCAACCTCATCCCCCCCGCCACATCCACGCAATCTCCCCCTCCCCCCGTCTCGCCAGGTGTCAGCTGCTGATTGGACGAGCCACCTCGTGCTCGCCACGCTCAACGCAGCTGCCACGCTGGCATCGGACGGGCCAATAGAATTGCCCCCCGCTTACCTGGAAGACCCCTGGGCTATTCCCGAGGTCTCTCCTCTCCAGTCATTCGCCAGTCTACTGTTGACCGGGACGATCGGTGTGTTGCTGTTTCGAGCTATCAAGAGACGAGCAAGCAAGGTCACTGAATCGGTAAGCAAGGGTTTGGGATGGTGGAGTGCGGTGGGAGCAGTGGGTGCAAATGTGCTCGCTTACCTGGAAGACCCCTGGGCTATTCCCGAGGTCTCTCCTCTCCAGTCATTCGCCAGTCTACTGTTAACGGGAGGGAACAATTGGTGTGCTGCTGTTTCGGGCTATCAAGAGACGAGCAAGCAAGGTCACAGAATCGGTGAGCAAGGGTTGAGGACGGTGGAGTGCGGTGGGTGCATTCCTTTCTGCAGTAGATGGTCAGTATACTGCTGACCAGGACGATTGGTGTGCTGCTGTTTCGGTCATTAAAGCGACGAGCAAGCACGGTCACTGAATCGGTGAGTCGAGGCTGGGAATTGGGTGCAGTGCAGTGCAGTGCGGTTAAAAGAGAGGTTTAGTGAGTGAGGTTGGGTTGGGTGCATGCCCCTCCGCAGTCCTTCGCCAGTGTACTATTGACTGGGCAGAGCAGCCCGTGACAACCCAGTGGCATAGGAGCGGAGAGCAGAGGAAACACGTGCATTGTGAATTGCCTCTAGAACCTCCAAAACCGTACATACTTATTCTTGAAAGTCGACCCAGAGTCAAACCAGCTGCAAAAGCCTCACTCCCGCGTTACTGTGTCGTGTCTTGTCCCCCTCCCAGCACTTCTGTTCGGATCTGACTCAGTTGAGAAGCTGTCGTCCAATCCAGTGGTGGAGGAGCGCAGAGGAGAGCAAGCACGGTGCACAGTGAATCGCCTCTCGAACCTCCAAACCCATACAATCTGCAAGAACCTTTTGAGTCGACTCAAAAGCCTCTCGAGCCTCCAAACCCATACAGTCTGCAACAACCTCACTCCTGCGTGCCTGTCTCTTTTCCCCCTCCCAGCGTTTCCGGTCGGATTCAGTTGAGAAGCTGTCGTCCAATCCGGTGGTGGAGGAGCGGAAGCGTAGGGCGGCAGCGGAAGCGGCAGAAGCAGCCAAGCGGGCGCCGCCCACGGTGCTGAACACACTGGGCGGCGCACTGGTGGCGGGGTCGATTGCCATCGTGCTCTACAGATTTGCCACGTCCGTTGATGATGTGTTTGCTGGCCAGACCCTCTCCACCACTTACACTGTGAGTGGCTGCTTTCCTTTGCGGAGCGCACTGGTGGCATTGCCATCACTGGTGGCGGGGTCGATTGCCATCGTGCTCTACAGATTTGCGACATCCGTTGATGATGTGTTTGCTGGCCAGACCCTCTCCACCACTTACACTGTGAGTGGCTGCTTTCCTTTGCGGAGCGCACTGGTGGCATTGCCATCACTGGTGGCGGGGTCGATTGCCATCGTGCTCTACAGATTTGCGACATCCGTTGATGATGTGTTTGCTGGCCAGACCCTCTCCACCACTTACACTGTGAGTGGCTGCTTTCCTTTGCGGAGCGCACTGGTGGCATTGCCATCACTGGTGGCGGGGTCGATTGCCATCGTGCTCTACAGATTTACGACATCCGTTGATGATGTGTTTGCTGGCCAGACCCTCTCCACTACTTACACTGTGAGTGGGTGGCTGTTTCCGATACCATGACTTCACGGTTTGCGCTTTCAACGTGTACCGCTTTCAGTTTTTTGTTACGAGCATCCACGTGTTATGGTGCCCATGCATGTAGCTCCTCAAATCCTCCCCTCCTCTCCCATATTTCTTCCTCACCCCCCCTCCCCCCCGCCTCGTCCCCCCTCCCTTGTCGCCCCCCACTCTCTCCCTGCCCCCCCCTCTGCAGGTTCGGAACCTCTCCATTGCTGTCAGGTACACTCCATTCGTTGCTTAATCTTTTGTATATTTTTTTAATATATTATTCTTCGTCTCCCAACTCCCACACCCCACACCACTTCATGCTCTTTTTGTTGTGATAGCTCCCCTTTTATCCCTCCCACATCCCTTTCGCCATCCCTGTTCCTTTCTTCACTTACCTTATCTCCCTTTTCCTTCCTTTTCGTCTTTATTTTCCACAGGACCATAGTATCAGGCCTCGTATGGCTGGCCCTCCTCTTACCCCTTCTTTTCCACCCTTAACCCCCCTCCTTGTTTTCTCCCTCACGCATTTTTTCCCTTCTCTTTAACACTTATCCCCCCCCCCCCCCCCCCCCCCCTTTCTCCCTCACTCATTTCACCCTCCTCTTACCACAGGACCATAGTATCAGGCCTCGTATGGCTGGCCACATTCATCTTTGGTCTCAATTCCATCGGCCTCACTCTATATGCCTTTCAACTGGCGCTGGGTCTCGACTCCCCTAAAGACAGCCCCGTTAGTGGGAGTGGGGGTGAAGCGGATACAGTGGGATCTAAAGACAGTGAGCCCAAGGAGACAGATGTTTCGATTGGGAGTGAGGAGAAAAAGCCATTGGGGTTTGGAGGTTCTTCAAAGGAAAATGAGGGAGCCGAGAAGAAATAGAGTTTTGAGCAAGGAAGCAAGTTCGAAGTTAGAGCAACACTGTGTGTAAGCTATTGTTTTCTAGCGTCTGTATGTTTTGACAGAAAGTATAGCCATGTGAAGTGTTTCTTACTACTCACGCCTAGTATAATCTATAATCTACTACGGTACCTGTAATGTAGCGTATTATAGAGTGCCTATATATCATCAGAAGGCAGACAGCAGCAGGTGCCTTGGAATCGCCTTGTTTTCGTCATTACCTGGGCAGATAAAATATTCAAGGACAGAAAATGGCAAGAGGCTGACGATCGCATCGCGCGAGTCGCGAACCCATGGCGACCCCCGTGCAACCTCGGTGTATTGCAATCGCAGAAACACCAGAATCGTCGCAGTAGGGACGCTGCTTCTGAATCTCGTCCGATATCTAGGCGCCTTTAGCGGCGAGGGGACGCTAGCGTCTGTTCCTGACTCAGATCAGGTCCTGCTCCGAGAAAGGCAAATATTTGAGGCGATTCTTGGGACGTTTCATCGCGCAATGTCTAAGGCGATTCGACATTGGGCCCGCAGAAAGGCGAAATGGGGAGCATGCGTCCTAACGGCGGCGCTCCTCGTTGTGTGCGTCCTCTCCGCCTCGTACGTGACTCAAGGTGAGTCGATACAAGGCGAAGAATACATAATTCGTCTACTCTCTTAGTCGTCTGGTCAAAAGATAAATTCGTCTACTCTCTTTTATCTTCCTTTCTCTTCCTGGTCATGATCAGGAAGAGACCTCCCTTTGTCTGCTCCCCACTTTCCAATTTATCCCCTCCCTCTCCCTCCCATCCGTTTTCCCTCCAGTTCAAGCGCAATCCGAATCAGTGCCACCAGCGGTATCAGCGCTATTGGCGCCAGCAGCACCAGAACCAGCCGATCCAGAATCAGGCAATCTGGCTGGCGCCTTTCCGCCAGCACGTCAGATGGCCGTCCAGATAGACGGCCAGCCGGCAGTTCAATCGACGGACGAGGTGCTTCTGGGGCGAGTGGCGGAGATAGCGGCGGAGCTCAGCCGTCAGATGCAGGAGGAGCAGGCACTGCAGCAGTCACAAGGAGCCATGCTTGATCAGCAGGCGCAACTGCTTCCGCACTCCCCTCCGCTCTCTCCCCCTCTCGTCTCCCCACAGCAATCGCCACCCTTCCCTCCTCCCGTTCCTCCTCCAACCGTCCCCCTTCTAGCCGTCCCCTCTCCTCGCTTCCCCCCTCCACCGCCCCTCCATCCCACTTCACTCCTCTCACCTCCTTCTCGAGGCGAAGCAGGGGGGTTAGGAAGCACGGCAGGAGTTGACGAGGTGCTTTTAGGGAGAGTGGCCGCGATAGAGGAACAACTGATGCTGCAGCTTGCAGGGGCTAGTGAAGAGGAGGGGAAGAGGGAAACTGGAGGAGAGGAATTCGGAAAGGGCAAGGTTCAGGAGAGAGAGACTAGTCCCCGCTTACCTGCCACTCCAACCCCCTCACACCCACCACCCCCCTCTCCTCCTCCCTCACACCCACCACCCCCCCCTCCTCCTCTTAAAGAGCCCCTCTTTACAGTCACATCCCTGAACCGAACCATTCACAGGGTCAATCTTAACAAGACCTTTCTAGAATACCACCATCATTTCCGGGAAGGAGAGCTCAAGCTACAGTGCTCCGGCGAGCCCTGCCCGAACCTGGGCTCCTGCGGCCCGGAGTTCCCGAACCTGCGCGCCTGCTACTGGCCGAACCTGGTCGACGCGGAGTACCTGTTCCCGGACCAGCCTATAAACTGCCCGAAAGTGATGGATACGAGTGTGGAAGGGGGAAGGGAGGTGTCGGATGCGAGGTGCACTCATAAGGGGGATGATTTGCGGCTGGACATGTTTCTACCGCAGTATTACGAGCTACGAGATGTGTACTTGGATGGGGATGGCCTGGTGTTTAACCAAACGGTGTTCTTTGACCGGCACAGCTGTGCTGACAAGGGGAATGTGAGTGCATGGGGGGATGGGAGATCAGGAGGAATGTGAGTGAACGGGAGTTCCTGAGAAATCTCAGGGTGGTTTGGGGGATGATTTGCGGCTGGACATGTTTCTACTGCAGTATTACGAGCTGCGGGACGTGTATTTGGATGGGGATGGCCTGGTGTTTAACCAGGCGGTTTTCTTTGATCGACACAGCTGCGCTGACAAAGGGAATGTGAGTGAATGTTCGCTTCTGAGAATTTTCAGGGTGGTTTTGGGGATAGCTTGTGGCTGGATATGTTTTTTCCCAGTATTAAGAGTTGCGGGACGTCTACCTGGATGGGGATGGCCTGTGTTTAACAAAACGGTGTTCTTTGATTGGCCTTCCCATCCCCCCTTGTGTCCCGCTCTCTGTGCATTTCTCCTTCGAGCCAGGGAAGGCCAAGGTCCGTCACTACGACCGCCTGGTGTCTCTCATGTACCCGCTGGGCATCACATTCTACCACGTGCTCCTAGAGCTCGTGAGCTGTCTTCAACCTTCCCACTCTGTTCCTCTTGTCCCCCCCTACGCAGTTCTCCTTTGAACCCGGAAAGGCCAAGGTCCGTCACTACAGCCGTCTGGTCTCTCTCATGTACCCCCTGGGCATCGCATTCTACCACGTGCTCCTAGAGCTCGTGCCTCACCCTTTCCCCCCAACCCCCTGTTCCCCCCAACCCCCTGTTCCCCCCAACCCCCTGTTCCCCCCAACCCCCTGTTCCCCCCAAACCCCTGTTCCCCCCAACCCCCTGTTCCCCCCAACCCCCTGTTCCCCCCAACCCCCTGTTCCTCCCAAACCCCCTGTTCCCCCCAACCCCCTGTTCCCCCCAACCCCCTGTTCCCCCCAACCCCCTGTTCCCCCCAACCCCCTGTTCCCCCCAACCCCCTGTTCCCCCCAACCCCCTGTTCCCCCCAACCCCCTGTTCCCCCCAACCCCCTGTTCCCCCCAACCCCCTGTTCCCCCCAACCCCCTGTTCCCCCCAACCCCCTGTCCCCCCAACCCCCTGTTCCCCCCAACCCCCTGTTCCCCCCAACCCCCTGTTCCCCCCAACCCCCTGTTCCCCCCAACCCCCTGTTCCCCCCAACCCCCTGTTCCCCCCAACCCCCTGTTCCCCCCAACCCCCTGTTCCCCCCAACCCCCTGTTCCCCCCAACCCCCTGTTCCCCCCAACCCCCTGTTCCCCCCAACCCCCTGTTCCCCCCAACCCCCTGTTCCCCCCAACCCCCTGTTCCCCCCAACCCCCTGTTCCCCCCAACCCCCTGTTCCCCCCAACCCCCTGTTCCCCCCAACCCCCTGTTCCCCCCACCCCCCTGTTCCCCCCAACCCCCTGTTCCCCCCAACCCCCTGTTCCCCCCAACCCCCTGTTCCCCCCAACCCCCTGTTCCCCCCAACCCCCTGTTCCCCCCAACCCCCTGTTCCCCCCAACCCCCTGTTCCCCCCAACCCCCTGTTCCCCCCTGACCAGTTCTCCTTCGAGCCAGGCAAGGCCAAGGTCCATCATTATGACCGTCTGGTCTCGCTCATGTACCCGTTGGGCATCGCCTTCTACCACGTGCTCATAGAGCTCGTGCCTCACCTCTTCGTTCTCTCCCCGTTACTGCGAGACAACCCCTCTATCCCCATCGCCATCGCATCCCACCAGGTACACTTGTTTTTTGTTTGTTTGTTTGTTTTTTTTGTGAAAGTTATCCCCCTTCCCATCCCACTGCCATCGCCTGCCATCCGCATTGCCTCACCTCTTCGTGCTCTCCCCGCTGCTGCGAGACAACCCCTCCATCGCCCTCGCCATCGCCTCGCACCAGGTAACACTGACATCTAAGACTTGGTGAGTATTTTCCCCTTCCCCTTCCCCATTGCCTCACCTCTTCGTGCTCTCCCCGCTGCTGCGAGACAACCCCTCCATCGCCATCGCCTCACACCTGGTACGCTTGATTTCTAGAAAATGGTAAAACCATCGCCTCACTCCTGGTGTGAAAGGCACAACTTGTTTCTCTTGCTGTTGTGTGTGACAGTGACGCCTGTTAAGCCCATTCAGGTGAAGCCCATTCAGCAGTCTCCTGGTGTGGTGTCTCGTGTCTCCTTGTCTCTTGGTTCAGCACCTGTTACGTGGCGTCAGACTCGTGTAGACGTCTGTTGTCTTGTGTGTCCCTCCTCCATCTCTACTCACATGTGTATATGCTGTTGGTCAGGTGTTAAGGCATTCAGCATTTTCATGGTGCCCTTCTTTGGCGTCACTGCTGTTGAGTCTCTTCTATGTCTTTCCCTGATTCTTGGTGTGCTCACGCTGCCTCTCCCTCGTTCCTTCTGTGTGTGTGTGCCTACTGCATCCCAGGTGAAGGCGTTCAGCAACCTCCTAGTACCCTTCCTGGGCATCCCAGCCACCGCTCTCAACCTCGCTGTCATCCCCAACCGACATGCTGACGTGAACCTGCTCGTACATGTCGATTTGTTATACCAGGTTGGCTCCATTTCTAATAGGAGGTACCATATCAGGTCTCTTATCATCGAGTCATTCTCCCCTGCACCGCCCCACCCCATCCCAAACCGACACGCTGACGTCCACCTGCTCGTACACGTGGGCGTCCTGTACCAGGTGGGTACCTAAACGTGCGACTTAAGCGCCCCTTTGTTGGCCAGCAGTTTGTACCAGGAAGTTTGTTGGCCCTTCGTTCCTCACTTCCCCACCCCTCCTCCCTTTCCTCCACTTCCCATCACCCCTTCCCCTCGCTTTTACCCTACTCCTCCCCTCAACCCAGCCACTGTACCAGGCATATAGTCTTTCCGCCCCTACCCTGGTACCTCCTATTAGGTACCTTCTATTCCGCCACTGGGGGAGCTTCATCATGCTCCTGCACCTCACCTCACTCCTGTCTCCCCTCCCCCCTTCCCCCTTCCCCCTTCCCCCGCCCCCCAGCCAGTGTACCAGGCGTGTGGCCGCTCCGCCCCCGCCATGTGGGGGGAGCTGCGCCGCCGCTTCCTGCTGCCCCACACTGGCCTCCCCCTCTTCGGCCCTGGCCTTGTCCCCCGCCACAACCACACCCACGCCCTCCCACCTACTGCTGATTCACCAGCTACCACCACCCCCACCATTGCTGACAGCAGCATACGCAGCAGCAGCAGTAGTGACACACTCCCTGTGAAGGCTGGTGTCAGCGAGAGTAACAGTGAGACAGATGTGCCACTGTGGTCTGACGCGCAGACCGCCCGGCTGCCGTACAGCTGGCGCACCGTGATTGCGCACCGGCGCGGCGCGATGCGCCACCTGGCGGCGTTTGATTCGCTCGTGGCGGAGATGAAGAGAGTTTTCCCGCCGCAGAGGGTGTTTGTGTTTGAAGGCGACCTGCCCTTACTGCAAGGTGCGTATGCTGTGCTGTGCTGCAAGGTGGGTGGGGTCTGTTGTTCTGCAATTTGAGTGAATAATGCTGATATCTGATGGGTTTCAATCCCTACCTGCCACCTTTGCACAGTGTTCCCACCGCAATCAGCAGGCCTCTCCTCTCCAACATAATAATAATGCCCGCCCATCCCCTTCCCCTTCCCCATCTCCTTTCGTTATTGGCTCTCATGCTCTCCTCCGCCCCCAGCCAAACTCCTCTTCAACCGAGCAGCGGTCTATGTGGGTCTGCACGGAGCAGGTCTATCCAACATGATATTCATGCCCTCTAATTCCTCAGTCTTTGAAATCCGACCTAGGGATTACCCCAACCCCTGCTACCACCACCTCTCCATGGCCTCACGCCAGAACTACTACCTGGTGTTTGGAAATGGGACCAAGGATTCGGAGTTGAGGTATAACATGAGTGAGGTGGTGAGTGTTTTGGGGATAATAGCGGATCAGACTAAAAGGAGGGTGTCAGCGAGTTCGTGGGAGGCGGAGGAAGTAGGTTCAGCTTTGGATGAGTTAAAAGAGAGTGATTATATGGATGCTATATTAGATAGTGACGAAAGTAGGAATCATGAGCCAACTTAGTTATAAGTTGAGATGATTTTTGGGCATCTGAGCCAACATTCTTTTGTTGCCATCAGGTATGGCATCTCCAAACGAAAATCAGGCTTTTCAGACCAATCTGGTATTTCAGGTTATTACTTCAATCAACAGTGCAGATTTCCTGCATTGTGCCGAAGTCGTAAGTTATAGAGGCATCTTGCCTCCATTATTTGAAATACCGGTAGCATTCTCGATCCCTTGCATTCCTGGTAAGCATTCCCAATATTGCATTGCAAGCATCCTCTTTACGATTTGTGCAAGTGCCTACGCCTTCCTAATCCCGATCCAACCGGTATGCTCGCCCTCTGAACACAGCACCACCAGACCCACCACCCACCCCTGCCGCAGCAGCTCCTCCTGCGGCCCCTCCTGCCGCTCCTCCGCCTCCTCCTGCTACAGCAGGCACGCGGGCCTGAGTGGGCCGCGGGGGTGCCTGGGGCTGCACCATGTTGGGCGCTACAGCCGCCCACTGCGCTACAAGCCGGTGGCTGTAAACGGGAATGTGGAGGGTCGGGAGGAAGGGGGGTGAGTGTGAGGTCAATGAACACATGAGCAAGTAGTACCTGCAGCTGCATCACACACACAATCACGAATTATGTACACCAGGAGAGGCGTGCGGATGAGCCGAGGCCCCCCCTGTGCGCGGATAGACAGCCGTGAGGAAGTAGTAGATGTGACCCGCCACTACGCCGGCTTGATAAAAAGAGAGGAGTGAGAAAGGAAAGGCTTACACCCAGAGTGGTGTGCGGATGAGCTGAGCCCCCCCTGTGCGCGGATACACGGCGGTGAGGAAGTAGTAGATGTGACCCGCCACAATGCCAGCCAGCGAATCCACGATGCTCATTCCAAAGAGCAGGTCCATGAAGAGGTACGCCCAGGGCAGGTAGAACGCCTGTGGTGGGAGAAGAGGGGGGGGGGGGGGGGAGGAGAGGAGAGAAGGAGATTATGAATTTGGCAGTGTAAGAACATCAATGACGCTCATTCCAAAGAGCAGGTCCATGAAGAGGTACGCCCAGGGCAGGTAGAACGCCTGTGGTGGGAGAAGAGGGGGGGGGGGGGGGGGAGGAGAGGAGAGAAGGAGATTATGAATTTGGCAGTGTAAGAACATCAATGACGCTCATTCCAAAGAGCAGGTCCATGAAGAGGTACGCCCAGGGCAGGTAGAACGCCTGTTGGTGGGAAAAGAGGATGGGAGGAGAGAGGGGAGGAGGGGATGATGGTGAAACAGGTACTGCAGAACAAGAGAGTCAGTGGTGCTCATTCCGAAGACGAGATACACCCACGGCAGGTAGAACGCCTGTTGGAGAGAGGAGGGAAGAGGGAAGAGGGGAGAGGAGAGGAGAGGAGAGGAGAGGACTCTCATTCCAAGGAGCAGGTCCATGAAAAGATACGCCCAGGGCAGGTAGAACGCCTGTTGGTGTGGTGGGGGGGGAGAAAGATAGGTGACGGGGTATTAGAAGTGAGTGGGTTACACTCTCATTCCAAGGAGCAGGTCCATGAAGATGTACGCCCAGGGCAGGTAGAACGCCTGTTGGTGGGAGGAGTGGAGAGGAGGGGAGAGGAGGAAATGATGGTGGGACAGAATAATTGCAAAGCAAGACATTCAGCGATGCTCATTGCAAAGAGCAGGTCCATGAAGAGAAATGCTCAGGGCAGATAGACTCATGAAATTGCCAACACTATTACAATTCTCCCGACTCCACGAGTAGATGACCGAGAGGAACAGCGGCTCACTAAGGCAGAAGCACTTAAAGGGGATAAACAGGAAGAGGAATACAAGGGGCATAGAGCTAAAGAGGGGACTTACGGGCATGGATAGAAGACCCATGAAGTTGACGACGCCGTTGGGATTCTCCCGGCTCCACAGGTAGATGACCGAGAGGAGCAGCGGCTCACTAAGGAAGAAGATCTTAAAGGGGATGATGAGGGCGATGAGCAGCAGGCTGAGCGTGTTGATCATGAGCATGTACAGAAAGTCTGCTGTCCTTCCAGCGAAAGCTGACGTCTCCATTTGTACACAGTAGCGGGCTCTGCAATAACAAGGATAACAGTTTAAGAGCCAGATTTTGAGAGCCCAATAGGATGTCCTCTATGGGGCTTTGGTTTGTAATCCTGATTAAGTGAAACGAAATTAGCAAGAGAAAAGCAGGTAAGAAGAAGGTGGAATGGAGGGAGCATGAATTGAGGGAGAGCGTTCAAGCGTGGAGAGGACATGGAGAAGAGGATAATGGACAGCAGGAGAACAATAGGTGGTTGAAGAAAAGCAGGAGAAAGAATGAGGAAGGAAAAGGGGGAAGGAACACAAGCTAGAGAAACAGAGGGGATGTCTTCGTACATCATAAGGAGAGTGAAGGCGAATCTCATGCTGAATCCTCCTGCAAAGAAGATGTTCGTAACGAGGCGCCATATCTGAATGGCACAAGACAGGCATGCATACGTGAAGCATGCACGCGCACAGTTCACAAAGGGACGGGTCAGAAAATGAGGTAACCTAGAAGTATTCCTGTTATGCCAATCTTCGCATGGGAAAATAGCGACAGCATGCGAAAGAGCGTGAGGATTCACAAAAACTGGCGTCCAGGCAAGGCGTTGGGGTCAAAAGAACAGAGAACGGAGCAACGGTAGGAACGAGGGATAGAACCTGGAATTTCTGGAATATGGAGGTGTAGTCGAGGAAGAGGAGCTGCACCGGCAGCACTTTGAGCTGCATGGCGCACGCGGTGGCGAATAGCGCCGTTCCCCATGCCTTGCTGACTGGCGGGAGGGAGTTGTACCACCTGAGATGTATGCGAGGTGGGGATGAGATTAACTGTATCAATTAAGGCGCCTCAGAAAGGGAATTGTACCACCTGTAGACGTATGCGAGAGTATTGCAGCCCGCGTGAGAGATATTCGTAACCACACTGCATGCTTAGAAACAACACGCTTCTACTCGGCGGTTATAGAAGTAAACGACAGGCGTCAACGAGAGGCGTCAACGACCGGCGTCAACGACAGGCGTCAACGACAAGGGTCAACGACAGGCGTCAAGGACAGGCCCTGCGCATAGCTGATTCGCCGACGGGAAGATGCGACGCTTACTCTGCGGGACTCGCTGCTGCCATGACTACAGAATCGCGAAGATCTCGGCGATCTTGACGACCCGGAGATCACGGACGAGTCTACGCTTCCAGCCTCAGAGACCGATGTCGACAACTTCTTTGCTTCGAAAACGATCTGCAACTTGGATCTGTCTGCTCTCTGAAAAAAAACTTTTCCGCGTGATTTGGGCCTAGGATAGCCTTGGTTTGGCGTGCAACGTTCAAGATTTAGCGCAGCGCGAATATGGTATTCCTCGGTATTTTTTAGGTAGAATCTAGAATGCATGGAAATCAAGAAGCTTGGCTCTGACAACGTTCCTGCCTCAGCGAAACGATTCTTCCAATATATTTTTCCAGTGAATGAATTCGCAAATGCTCATTTTAGAATACTCGTGATGCTTTGTGGGGACTGGTCGCCTTGTTCTCGCGAGTTTGATGTTACCGGACCGGACAGGCATGGTATGTGTCATCTGGTGTGAGCGAGTGACTGTGCACGGTTCCAGGGTTTAACACGGTCCGAACCGGTTCAGTGATTTTCCGTACGTTATAGAGCATTGTGAATTGAAAGCTGACACCCCCTAGGCTTTGCACTGCATTCTCGTTCTGGTCTGTTTATCCATCAGGTCAGGAATCCAGCTCATCAAACTAGAATCATGGATTTCCGCTCACTTGGTCCTCGTCCTCGTCTCTTGGTCCTCGTCCTCGTCCTCTAGGTCTAGGTCCTCGTCTCTAGGTCCTCTAGGTCTTGGTGACTCTCTCTAGTCCTCGTCTCGGTGATTATAGTCTCTTGGTAAAAAGGCACGAGGTCCCGACCCCCTCCGAGTCTCTCTGTCACGTTACGGCAGTATCTTTGTTTATGGCGGACAAGCGTAAGGGTTCTCGAAGACTTACTGCATCGCAAGCTGCCATGGCGATTCGATCGAAGTCGACGATAGTGAAACTGCTCGCGATTCTCGCGTTGTGGATCGCCGTCATTGGCGTGTTACAGTTGCTTCGCGCGTCGTGCAACTTTTTCGCGAGCTCGAGAAGTCCGTCGTCCTCCGATTCTTCCTTGGGATTTTCAAATTCCTCGAGAATACCGAAGCGCTTGTTTATTAACTACGCACACAACTGCTGTCACGTGGGCCAGCGGACCTCGTGTGAGGCCGCGTTACAGCACGGAGCGGATCGTTGCATTCAATACAATCACACTTCTTTGGATCCCGATTTCACCTCCCGAAACAATAAGATCTTATCTCTTCCTCGAGGCGTGGGATACTGGGTGTGGAAACCGTACCTTATACTGAAGACGCTTTTAGAGGAAATGGAGGATGGGGATTTGCTACTATACGCGGACGCGGATAGCACCAAAAACGGGGATTTATCTGCGTTATACAGTCTTGCAGCTGGTGACGGGGAAAGCTATGCTTCTGGGGGGATAGTTGATGGGCTTGTATCGAGGATGGCGTTAGACGATGGAGATGATTCAGACGGCGCCGTAAAAGATATCATTAAATGGGCTTTAAGTCAACAAGAGGTTCATTTATTTCAGTTTCCGCCCAATTTCGTGGAAGCTTGCTGGACAAAGATGGACGCTTTTCTTCTGCTCAACTGCACTGATGAAAACATCTGCATGAAGTCCGCCCAGGTGAGCTCCGGGTACGGGTTGAAAGGGGAGGGGAGGGGGAAGGGGGGAGACGGGGGGGGGGGGGGGGGGGGGGGGGGGGGGGGGGGGGGGGGGGGCGGAGGGAGGGTGGGTTGATTTGGATTGGGCTGATTGCTAACGCATGACATGATCCCCTATTCGTCCTCTCCTTTCTCACCCTTCCTCCCTCCCCTCCCATTTCTCTCCCGACTTACTTCCCTGCTCACCTACTGTCCTTCCCCCGTTCTTACACTTTCCCCTTCCCCCGCTCCTACACCTTCCCCCGGCCCCCCGTCCTCCCCTCCCCCCCTCCCTGCCGCACCAAACCTGTCAGGCCGATGCGGGTTTCTCCGTGTGGCGACGCGGGCGGCAGTCAATCCAGTTCGCCGCCCAGTGGCTGGGGTACATGGAGGACCCGCGCGTGTCAACGGACCTGCCGAACCAGCTGGGTCGGCCGAACCATGCCTGCTTCACGGACCACCGGCACGACCAGTCTGCATTGGGGCTGCTGGCGAAGCGAGGGGGGATGCACATGTGGCCGCATGATGTGGTGGAGGCGGTTATCAGTCACCACTGGAACAAGGAGTGAAAGCTGCTTACTTTATGTGTAGCAAGCGAAAATGTTGTTCAAGTCAGAGCACAAAGAAAATGTGTGTGTCTTGACTGGGTGTACCAAGGTGAGTGCTACGCTCCTCCAGTAATCACCCTGTTTAGTGTTAGTTTTTTTTGTATCCTCTGCAGGCTACATTCATGTGAGGTGAATTTCTCGTCAGTCAAGTCGTTTTTAGTGTTTCTGCGTTCTCTTGTTCCCTCAACTTCCCTTGATGCTCCATCCTCTCTAATTCCCGCATTCCCCCATTCAGGCATCACCCCATTCCCTCATTCAGGAATATCCATCATGCAGTTATATCCAAGCTCTTCTGTAAGAACCAGGTACAGCATGCCCCGCCTCTTGCCTCTCGCATGGCAGGCTGAGAAGGAGGCAGAGGCTGATGCTGCCAAGAAGGCAGCAAAGGTGGCGGCAGCAAGGGAAAGGCATTGACTTAGAGCAGGATGGAAAGAAGAGCAAGATGAGAAGGAGCAGCTGCTGCATGCCACAGGCGCGGTGCTGCAGAAAGAGAAGATAGAGCTACCCTGCTTCAGTGGTTTGGTTATTGATCAAATTAGATTGATGCAAGGCACAAACAAGATGTAGTTGGGGATGTTTCTTTGCTCTTCTGGGTATTATGATGCATTGTATGTGCATGGATGGAACATTCATCCACCAGATTACATTGATCTGCAGGCATAGTCCCCTAGGAGAAGTGTGTCAGAGGTTCGTTGGTGATCCCCGATTGATCCTAGGGAAGGGTTACAGGCTCGTTGTCCTGGGGGGTTATGGGCGCACTGATCAGTTACACAAACAAGCCCTTTTATCTCAATGGTCTAGTGGTTGGGATTTCGATATGGTATCAGAGCGAAGGTCTCGGGTTCGAATCTCAATGTGTGCACTTCGGGCATCCCAGTGCGAGGGGGTGTCAAAAGTCCACTGGTGATCCCCGATTGATCCTAGGGAAGGGTTACAGGCTCGTTGTCCTGGGGGATTATGGGCGCACTGACCCGCTACTTAATAAGTCATTTTATCCTAATGGTCTAGTGGTTGGTATTCTGACAAAGTGCACACATGAGAAAGTATTGAACTGCCCGCATATTCTCCTACAAGTTCACATGAGAAACTATTGAACTGCATGCATAGTCCCCTAGAAGAAGTTCCCTACTCCAAGGCTTCTCTGCTCCACTGCTACACTGCTCCCATGTTTCACTGCTCCACTGCTTCACTGCTCCGGTGCTTCTCTGCTCCACTTTTCCTTGGCACCACCACTAGTATCCCCCGAGCCACCATCCATCCATCCATCTTTTTTCGTATTCTCAGCACATCATGGCGGTGTGAGCACTTGGTAAACCCAATGGCATCTCTGGTGTAAAAATACACCGTACCGTACGTCAACCTAGATTGGTATTGCTTAATCAGGAGCCCAAAGCTCAAGCAACATGGTAATTCTTCCAACACCTATGCTCTAGGTATGCATAATCAGACAGCACTGGCTCTCCTTGACCTACCTGTTACCATACCTACAACTGAGGCACGGGCTTGAGCTCAATTTTTAAGTCCGGTGCCGAACCAAATACTGGCAGGTCACCTGGGTCCACATTCGGCACACTGCTGGCACCGGAATTGCCTGCCGAGCCTGCAGAAGAGGCTTGGGCCACAGCCAGGTCTGGAGAGGACTGGAGTGCGTCGAGAATCATCTGAAGGAACAAGCGGTGCCTGTTCAAGAACACACGGGAGCAGGTGGACAGCAAGAACAGATGGCTGTAATCGAACGGGCGATGGGTAACTTCGTGTGCAGAGACGAATGGGTGCACATGCGTATCGAAGTGCAGGTGAGAAAATGTGGCAGAGAGGGAGGAGATTGGAGTGAAGAGGCTGGTCTAGAATGGGAAGGGCTTTAGAACAGACGAAATGTGAGCATCTGAGCATCTGTCTCTCACCATCTGAGGTCGGCTGTGAGCTCTCACCATCTGAGGTCGGCTGTGAGCTCTGGGTGGAATGCCGTGGCTAGGAGCCTGCCCTGCCGCACCGCCACTGCCACTCGGTCCAACTGGCAGATGAGTCAACAGAGTCAACAGAGGGGAACACAGGTAACACAAGAAAGTCAACAGAGGGAAACCATGTGACACATAAGCTTGCGACGATACAATGCGGGAATGGGGGGAGTAAAAATAGGGAGGTATAGGTCATGGAGGAGGAGTGCAAAAGAGTGGAACAGTCTACCCTCTTGAAAAGCAATCAGGTTCCCTTAGTGGTGCATTCGAATGCTGGCAGAGCAATTTAAGCAAATTCACCTTCGCTAGAATTTCAGCTTCGGAAAGCTCCTGGCCGCTCTGGTCAGGCACGGTCGAAGCAGCGGCTGCAGGCTCGGCCGAACCAGCGCCCGCAGGTGCGGCCGGGGCAGCAGGTGCGGCGACGGCAGAGGCACGGTTGGGAAGAGGGTACTCCGCGAGCACCTCAACAGCAGGGCCGGTGTGGATGATGGCAGGGGCTCGGATGAACACAGCTCGAAAGGGAGTGGCGGGAGTGGCGTCAGGAGAGGGTTGAGAGAGGGATGGGTGTGCCTGGGAGGGTGCTGATGCTTCTGATGATGGTGTTGCTGTGGAGATGGATTGAAGGGTGTGGTGCGGGAACGGAAGGAGAGTCTCGAAGCTGTTGATCTGCATGGGGGCGAGGGTGGCGAGGGGACTTGGATTAACAGACAGGCATACGGGTACGTATGAGCACATACCCATATACACATGGGTGCGCATAGATGGAAACAACTCGTACGGTGCAGTGTGCACGGTGCGGTGGGCACGGTGCAGTGTGCACGGTGCAGTCCCCACCCACCTTCCAAAAGCGCCTGCCACTCACTCAAGGGACATCCCCCATCACACACCCCTCAGACCCCCCATTTTGTAAGACCCACCTGGCTGCCAAAGAAGTTGCGGTGCACGGTGCAGTCCAGTCCCCCCAGCAGCGCCTGCCCTCCCGACTTCTGACCTGCCAGGCACCGGCCAGGCAAGGGGCAGAGACGCATGAGATGGGAGCATGGGAGACAAGAACGGATTCACAAGAAGAAAAGACCGAAAGAGCCTTCTGACGTTCACAGTTTCTTCCCAGCAATGCACGCCCTCCTAACTTCTGACCTGCCAGGCGCCTGCCTGCCAGGAGAGAGACTGAGGCGCGTTGGGAGGGAGAGAATGCAGCAGAAGGGGAGCGCAGGGGAGACGTGACGGGATACGAAGAGGAGATGCCCACCACCCATCCCTTCCCCTCTACCCATCCCCTCTCCCCCACCCATCTTCCCCAACTCCCCTCCCTTTTCTCCCCCCCTTGTTTTCTCTCCCCCCCCACGCACCTAGCGCCTTGTTGGCCAGGAATATGAGTCCGGCGCACGTCCCCCACACCGGCCGCCCAGAGGCTGCGAAATCCTGCAGCGCGCCGAGCTGGGTGAAGGGACGGGGGTGAGGGGAAGGGGGAAGGGGAGGTGGGGGGGATGGGGGGGGAAGGGAGGAGGGAGAGAAGGAGGGGCGCGAGAAATTCAGTCAGGTTTGGAGCTGCGAACGCGGGATATGTTCTATTAAGCATGGGATGCGCAACACAGAGCATGTGTACCAGTCCGCATCGCTGGGCGCGGTTGGCCAAGGTGGTTCTCTCCCCGCCAGGGATGATGAGCGCAAGGGTTGAGGGGATAGATAGTCAAAACGATAGCAGGAAAGATGGCGCTCAAGGCATCGTACCAGTCCGCATCGCTGGGCGAGGTTGGCCATGGTGGTGCTCTCCCCGCCGGGAATGATGAGCGCCTGCACACTCCGCAGCTCCGCGTCCGTGCGCACCTCAACGGCCTCAATGGTTAACGCCTTCATGTCCGCCGCGCACCTGCGCAGGGCTGCGAGATGGCGGGAGGGAGCGAGAGCGGGAGGGACGGGGAGGAGAAATGCAGGGAGGGACGGGAATGATGAGCGCCTGCTCACCCCGCAGCTCCGCGTCCGTGCGCACCTCAACCGCCTCAATGGTTAATGCCTTCATGTCTGCTGCGCACCTGCGCAGCGCTGCGGAAGGGGAGGAGGGAGGGGGGGACGGGGGGAGAGGGACAAGAATGATGAGCGCCTGAACCGACCGCAGCTCCGCGTCCGTGCGCACCTCAATAGCCTCAATCCTGACTACTTTCATGTCCGCCGCGCACCTGCGTAGGGACGGCGGGAAGGAGGGGGAAGGGACGGGAAGCCGTTGCGCAGTCCGCGTCATTACGGACCTCTACCGCATCGAAAGCCGTTGCGCACTTGAGGAGAGCTGCCGGAGGGAAAGAGGGAGGGCGGGATGGGGGAGGAAGGAGGGGGATGTAGAGCGCGAGCACGCTCCGCAGCTCTGCGAGCGAGCGCGCTTCGACTTCTTCGAACGACACGGCCATCTCGCAGCTCTAGCTGTGTCCAGCGCGGCTCACATATCTGCTAGATCTGTGATTTGCGGTGTGAACGAAGGAGCAGGCTCTAAACGAACAACTTTTGGGATATATAAGATGAGCTTGTCGCGAGCTGACACTGAGCTGCGATGCGTTGTCTGAACAAACGAGCCTTGCGAAGCACAGAGCAACGGACATCCGATGCTGATTGCGAACAGAGAGAGACCAATGTACGCATTCATCGGACACTCAACGACATCCACAACACCTGAACGCGATCTGGGACTAACCAACATACGACTTCACTGGACAGTCAGCGTCATCCACACCAACTGGCCGCTGACCTGGCACTGACCTGCAATGTGCTCGCGGAACGAGCCTTGCAGCGCCAGCACTCCCACTCGAATGAATGGACCTGACGCCGATCCAGAATCCGATGCCATGGCGACCTAATAAGATTCGTGCGATCGAAAACGGATCAGCGGACGGGTCGCGGATCAGCTTTGACTCACGGATCACCGATCAGATTAGCGGCCCGCTTAGGCGACGATCAGCCTAGATTCACGGATCAGCTTAGTGCTACAGAACAACGGTGAGAACGGATCAGTGGCGTTCTTTATAAATCAAGGATCGACTGAACGAATCGCGGATCGGGGGCAACAATGCGCATTCGTGACAATGCGCTTTCGATCGTTATCCAGCGAGCAAAGGGACTCAGGTTCTGCTGCGAACGAGGGGAAGCGTCATGCGCACGGCATGAACGAAGCCTGGGACCAAAGAAGATGACAGCGGAGTTCTCGCTCCAGCCTAAAGCTTGTGTGCACTGATCATGCTGATCGGCAGGCTGATAGTTGAAGGTTATGAGGGAAGAGGAGCTCCCTAGGTGCCTACGAATTCTGTGATCAATCGTTAGAAAGAACAGAAAGGGCAGGCGGGTTATTGTGGCATACGTGTGTGGTGCGGGTTGTGCCACGGTCACAGAAACACCGATTGGTTCTTATTGCTGGCACTTGTTGCGTTCGAGGTTCGTGTCACGACGCAAAACGAGTGTCACGACGTTCGTGACACTCGAGAAGCAAAGAGGGTTCGGCCTTCGTGTCACGCGTTAGTTCCGCAGAAAGATACCCGAGGTTCGCTGTGTCGATGTCCTGAGGATATTTGAAACAAGAACCGAAATGCCCTGATGATCTCTGGACAGCTCGTGTCGTGAAGTATCAGCGACAGAAGTTCTCGTTATGAGAAGCTCGTTAGATTATAAAGAGCCTCGGTCACAAGTTTATCAGAAACGGGATGTTTATAATCAGCAAACGGAACATTCCATAACTGGTCGAATGATCAGGTGTTACCCGAATGCGCGAGCTCACTATCTTCAGCGACGAGCGCAGCGTTCGTGGCTAGTCGGTCGCACGCGACCCCATCGCCAGGTCGCTCGCTTCGCAGCAACCAGCAGCCACCTTCAGCCGAAGGCGAACGAGGCAACGACAATCAGCGATAAGCGCTAAGCGAAACGGCATGTGAAGAGGCATCGTCCAATTCCCAAACGAAGCACCAAGTAGAATCGCATGCGTCGCGAGCCGACCATTTCGTAGTCTTGTCTCAAATGTTTTTTCGCAAACCTCTTTCCTTATCGGCCGCAGCAATGTGCGCCCTTTTCCGTTCCAAGTCACTTCACGGGAAATTCTCAACTCCGCCATTACTCATTCTTCTTGCTCTTCTTGTAGCTCTGAACACCCTTAGCGGGCTCTGCTCAGCCAGCATTCTCGATGGCGGCTGGCGAAAGCAGCAGGGCGCCTCGCGGGACGTCTGGCGCGAAGAAATCAGCACGTGGCGAGGCGACAAACTCACAGGCGCGAACCAGCAGCGAGAAGAGCAGGAGTATATTCGGCTCGGTTCAGCCCGGTTGAACGTGGAGGGACTAAACAATGGTGACCTAGAAAATCCGGTTTATGGAGAGCTCGGGTCGCCTGTTACACCAACTACAGCGTCTTCGCGACGACGGTCGCTTCAAGGCGAAGGCGGCGAAGAGAATTCTTTCGGTATGCTCGCCACGTAGCGTAACTCCTGGCATTCGCGCTTCTCGCATTGTCTGCCACCAATTCACGAGTTAATTTCGTCTCACCGCTTACGTTTCTTCGCTCATGTGAATGTGTGGCTGGCAGAGTTCTTTCCCGACGACAGCTGGGAAATCGTCGATCTTCCGTCAAGCGATCCTCCACAGCCTCCCCCGGAAATTCCCAGCGCCGACGCGCCAGATCCATCCCCCGCGGACTCCGCTCCGCCCCCCGCGAACTCCCCGGACGACTCCTTTCCTTTTCCTCCGTACCCCGCGCCGTCGCCCGGCGACAGCGGCGACAGCCCGTCGCCCGCGCCCGCGTCGCTTCCCAGCCCGCCCGCGGCTCCCGCGCCGGCGGTCACGGGCGGAGTGGGCGAAGTCGCGTCCGTCTGGTGCCCGCGTTTGCCGCGACTACCCGCCGACTACATCGAGAACCCGCTGGAGGAGTTTAAAGCCCTCGATGAGGGCATGGCGAAGCTCTACGCGCGGCGTCCAGACGGGCAGTCCATCACTATATGGGTGTCGGGGAAAGACTCTCCTGTGACTATATCGAGTATGCCGCCCACATCCGAGCTCCTAGGGCTTGAGACGACGATGCCGCAGATCGAGGGGGTGGGGGAGCCGTCTAACCCACACTTGGACCCGTTTTTCACGTCCTCCCTGCCGCCCTTCCCTGTGGTTCCCTTGAACTCTGTGCCGCCGGTCGTTGCTGCGCCTCCGCCTCCCCCTCCGCACTCGTTTCCCCCGCCTCCTCCCCCTGAGAACTTCACTCCAGCTTCTGAGTTTCCCCCACCTCCCCCTCCCCCGAACGTCCTTCTCGCCTCTCCTCCGCCTAACCCTCCGCCCTTTCCCCCGCAGTCGCCACCTCCCCCAGATCCACCCACCCCTGGTGAGGGGAATGTGAGTCAACCCAGCGGCCCAGGCAGCAGTTTCCCCCTGTGTAACCCATCACCCATCCGGTGTGTGTTCAGGTTCGTGGGGTATGAAGACAGGGTGCCAACGCTGGACATTAGCAGTGCCCTGGCGGAGGAGGTGATCAGTCCTGCGCTGGTGGTGTTACGCGGTAACCAGACTCGCCGTGTGGTAGCGGCAAACAGTGGCGAGGGGAGGTCGATCTGCGTTCATGTGCCTGATGATGTTTACCATGCAGTGAGGAGCCAGTTCTACGCCAATGGAGAGGTGTGTGTTTGTTGTTATCCCTGTTTTCTCTGGCTCCTCATGCTTGATTCTTATATACTGGTATTTTATACCCTTCTTGTGTGGATGGAACCTGTGCAGGTTGTGAGAGTCAGGCAATTCAATCCACTGAGCTTGAAGAGGGCATTTTCCAACTCTTTCGTTCGTCTGGACATCAATTCTGCTCAAGTAGAAGATGATGAGGGGATAGTCAACATCTTCTCCTCAAATGTCAAGGATTCTGAAGGCGACACCATACCACATAAGAAAAGCTGCATGATTTTCCGTTTGAAGGCTTCGTAGCATCTCATTCTCTGCATGGGTTATACACATTTAGGATTACTAAGTGGGAGCCGCTCGCTCTCGTACTGCTAGGCTATGTCCATGCTCACATGTACAGTTATGTTAGGCACTATACCTTTGTTTAAAAACGTTTGTGTGCATTTATTATCAAACGTCATATCCCTAGGATCTTCTCTGCATTGGCATATCCAGTCACGATGTCTACATTGCGGAAGCGAGAACTCGGTACTACCAGTGTTCCAAAGCGAGGAGTCTCCAATCGAGTACTCCAGTTTCAATGGAGTGGTGTTGTCTGGCTTCCCTCGAGATCTGCGGCTCTTGAGCATAGCAGCAGCCCTTGCCTTCCATCCGCCTTCCTTCCTCGATTCCTCCAGTTCTCCCTGCATACCTCCATTCTCGCCGCCTGGTTGGTTGAACCTTGCTGTTCTCCGCCGTGAATACACCTTCCTCCTTCCACTATTTCCTATGTGAATGCTACCCGGAGATTGGTCAGTCGCGGCGTAGTGACTAACGTGTCGGCCAGAATCTATTATTGCTCTTGGGCGTCGCGGCGGTGTTTAGTTCCAGCATTTTCAGGTCCTCCTGTCAGGATCACAGGAATCCCACGCAGTTCCTGTTATACTTTTCACGTGTAGTTCACGACTAGGCCATCCAGCAATAATCCCGTTTACAAATCGTCGGATCTTGTAGTCAACGGGCGAGATTGTTCCCATGATGGTGGAAGTTGCGGGGTGACATGGCATGGCGCGGCGTGCTTGATCGGATCTGGAGGCGACAAGAGCCGGAAGAGGTAATGGAGCGAAATCAGTAGTAGGAAATCGAGCGTGAAAGCAGTGGTAGGGATTGGAGCGTAAAAGAGATCATAGGCAGCATAGCGTTGCTACGCCTGAAACAGGAACGATATGTGATAGCCAAACCACAATTTCTTCAATCAATGTCGGGCATTTTTCGTAATCTATCCCATTTAGGTCGTCAATCTCCTTCCTCCCATCGTTACTGCCGACATTTCGGCGAGTTAAGCTACCCAGGAATTGATCACCCTTGGATGTACTTGGATTCTCTTCACGTGACGGCTATAGCGTCGATTTCGTTCACACGATGACAATATCGTGGATTTCCTTCACACGACACCTTACAATCTTCGTGCGACCACTCCGTCAATCCACTCCGCGTCGCAGATCGACGAAATGGCCGACGCACAAGGCGCGTTCGTCACGCGAGCATTCGAGAAGCTTCTGCGAGAATCCACGGGACGGAAGTTCCAGAAGCTACACCAGGCGCTTAAAGCTTATCTAGGTAAGGCAATCTCAGAAGCTAGACCAGTCACATACAGCCTGTTTAGATGGGTACAAAACTTTGTGAAAATGCTCGCATTCGTCACATGCTCGCATTCGTCGACTTTGCAGCTAGGAGAGGTATCGATAGAAATTGGGATTCAGGCCAGTTTTCCACCCTGTGCTTGCCTTTCCGCCCGTGCTCGTATCATGACCGGCAGATCGACCAAAAGGGGAGCATTTGGTTCTGGTCACATCAGCATCACGGTCAGTCGCCGATCTCTCTTTCCACTCCCTGCAACCACTCCCCCCCCCCCTCCCTCCCCTCGTTTTCGTTCCTTCAATTATCGTGTGCTCAATCCCCTCAAATGCTTCACTTTCGGACCAATACAATACTGGACGTCGGAGCCGATCCATCCAGTTTGGCCCCCAGATAGAACACACTGAAACACACTTTCTAGTAATCCATTCGAAGAACCAAGTCAATAACATCTCGCAACAACCTCCCAATAAACGTGCGTCTTGGCCCCGCATGAAAACCAATCCGCCACTCTTTTCACATCAGGGTTGATCCTCGCTATGGGTTGCCTCAGACAGACGAACCAGGAGCGGCGGAGATCGTGCCGCAGCCACAGCAGCTGGCGGGGACGATTCCGCTGGAGCCCGCGGGCAGCGGGGAGGGCAGCGGGCGCGCGCACCCGAACACGGCGAACGCGGCGAATGTGACGGCGGCGGCGGCGATGGCGGAGGCGGGGCACTCGCTGGAAGGCGTGGAGGCAGAGCTTATCCTGTGCCCGCTGCGGCTGGCCATAGAGAGCAAGCAGAGCCGCCTCATGGAGACCGCGCTAGACTGCCTGCACGTGAGTGCTCGTTCCGCCTTCCCTTCCCCCTTTCCAACCCCCGCTACCCCTCCCTCCTCCCTCCCACCCCCCCCAACCCACGTCCCCCCTTCCCCCATTCCTCCCACTCCCCACTTCCCCACTTTCCTTCTTGGTTGAAGTGCCTAAGAGATTGTTGTCCATAGGAAACGAGCAGAGCTGACTCATGGACAACGGCGCTAGACTGCCGGCCTGCTCGATAGTTCTCGGCCTCTGAGACGTCTTATAACGCGTCTGGCCATAGAGAGCGCAAGCAGAGGACGTGGTGTTTGACTGTCGGCATCCGAGTGCGTCCTACCCACTCACCGCTGTCCTAAACATGCGTCTCAATCCCTCTGTGCTTGTGTGTGTGGTGGTTGCTGTGAATCTCCTGGTGTGACCGTAACGGGGCAGAAACTGATATCGTATGGTCATTTGGAGGGCGACTGCGGGCTGGAGGGCGGAAAGAACAACAAAGTGCACACGGAGATATTCCAGCTGGTGTGCTCCTGCGCCGACAACACGGCACTCGATAGGTGAGCCTGTTGCTGTATCGCTTGAAAGACTGGAGGGCGGAAAGAACAACAAAGTGCACACGGAGATATTCCAGCTGGTGTGCTCCTGCGCCGACAACACGGCACTCGATAGGTGAGCCTGTTGCTGTATCGCTTGAAAGACTGGAGGGCGGAAAGAACAACAAAGTGCACACGGAGATATTCCAGCTGGTGTGCTCCTGCGCCGACAACACGGCACTTGACAGGTGAGGAGATCCGTGTTGCCTGGTCGCTTGGAGTATTGGAGGGAGGGGGCAACAGTGTGGTGCACACTGAAATCTTCCAGCTCGTGTGTTCCTGCGACGATAACACGACACTCGTCATTTGAGGTTGGGAGTGGGGAGGCTCGCCCTGTTTTGCATATTCACTTATGGGGTTGGAGGGTGGCGAGAGCAAAGAGGGGCTGCAGGTCCTCAGAGTCATTCTCACGTCTATCTCTCCCCTCCCTTCCCCTGCTCCGCAGCGTGGTGCTGCAGGTCATCAAGGTCATCCTCACTGCCATCGCCTCATCCACATTCCAAGGTACCACGTTTCAACTTACCCAACGTCGCACTCACTCAACCCCATTTTTAGGACAGTTTGTCACCTTTCCCTGCACTGTTTCTTTCTCTCTCCCCCGCCTTCTGCTCCTCCACGTGCGTTTCCCGCCATCTCCTCACTTTTCATCTTTTAACCGTCCATCTCCTGATTTCCCATTCTCACGCTTTACATTCCCTCTCCCTTAGCAGATTCTGAGTCCTCAAGTCTTTCTCCCTTATTTTCCTCCTTCATCTCCCCATTCTCCATTACGCACCCACCCCCCACACTTATCCTTCCCTATGTGTGCCGTCCTGCAGTGCATGGAGAGTGCCTGATTCTTGCCCTGCGCACATGCTACAACATTGTGCTCACCAGGTGCGCTCTTAATTCTCATTCGTGTAACTGATGCAGCAAATATCGCTGATGCACGGCTTTGAGTTTCAAGCAAGCAGCCCAGGCATCCCATGGCAGTCCTGAATCAAATCCCCGTGCTGGATTGGATTTGATTCAGATCAGACAACATCTTTGTCATTCATCCCATCGCACCACGTCACGGTCGCATTCCTGGGTCTGCTTCTCTCTCTCGTTCCTCATCCGTCCATCCCTCTCCCTCCCCTTGTGCCCCCTGGCAGCAAGAGCCAGGTGAACCTGTCAACGGCCAGGGGCACGCTCACTCAGATGCTCAACATCGTCTTCAAACGCATGGAGGCATCAGAGCTAGCCGTGAGTCCCATCGAGAACCAACCCTGGAATTCTATCAGAGTGTGCAGCACTAGGCCGCATCATTCATGCTTTCATTCGAGGCGTCTCAAGGGGCGCGCTCACTCAGATGCTCAACGCCGTCTTCAAACGCATGGAGGCGTCAGAGGTAGGTGAGTCCCATGAAGAACTAGCTGTGAGGACCCACATTGAGTGGTAGCTGTGAGTCTCATCATAGCAGAGTGAGTCTTATTGAGGGCGAGCAGTGGGATGTTCTCATGCCTTCACGCTCACTCAGATGCTCAGCTCAACACCGTCTTCAAACGCATGCAGGCATCAGGACTAGCCGTGAGTCCCATCCGAGCATGCATTCAGCATCCTCAATAAAGTCTCCCCAGTGCCTATGTTTCCTTCCCCTTCCCCTTCCACTCCACCCCTCTTGCATCCCCTGTACCGCCTCCCATCGTGCCCCCCTCCCCCTGCCACCCCCATCCACCCTCCCCGCGCCCCCACATTTACAGAGCGCTCCTCAGCGCCCCCACGCCTACCCCACACCCACCAAGCCCTCTGAGGAAGGGCCCTCCGCCGACCAACCTGCTGCTGCCGCTGCTGCTTTCGGTGATCCCACCTCCTCACGCGCATTCTTCTCCCCACTTCCCCTTCCCGCCCCCCCCTCCCTTCCACATGTGCAGAGCGCCCCTCAACGCCCGCACGCCTACCCCACCCCCACCAAGCCCTCTGAGGAAGGGACCTCTACTGACCAACCTGCTGCTGCTGGTGATGGTGGTGGTGGTGCTGCTGCTGCAGTGGAGGGGACAGAAGGGAAGGAGGGAGGCGGGGATGGGGAGGAGGAAGGGGAGGTTGAGGGCAATGGGGAGAGGGACGAAAGAGCGGGAGTGCAGGAGGAGCTAAAAGTCCTGGAGGGGCCGCAACCCAGTATAGAGGCCCTAGACGCTGTGCTAAGTAAAGCACTTAGGCCGCAGGGAGTGGGCGCAGGTGGGGATGCTGCTGGAGGTGGTGGTGGTGAGGGTGGTGAAGGGGAGGGAGGTGCTGGGACAGCCGAGGGGAGTGGGGAGGAGGGAGCTGGGGCGACTCCTGCTGCGCCAAAGTGAGTGATTCTGATATGTGGTTTGGTTTGTGACTATGGAGAGTTGTGGTGTGGTGTGGTGAAGGTGGTGAAGCGGAGGGAGGTGCTGGGTCGGCAGGTGAGGGGGGTGAAGAGGTGGGAGCTGGGGCCACTCCTGCTGCTCCAAAGTGAGTGAAGTGAAGCTGTGGGGAGGTGTGGTTCCAATGTGCACTTGTGTAGAGTGTATTCAAATGTCTGATGCAGGTGGAGAGGAGGGAGCTGGGGCGACTCCTGCTGCTCCAAAGTGAGTGAAGTGATCCTGAGATGCGGTTTGGTTTGTGATTATATGGGGGGGTTTTGTATGTGGTGAGTCGTGACAGTATGCATGCAAGTCGACTGGCCATGTTGACTGACAACCTCCCACCCTGCCATCTCATCTCACCCTCCTTGCCACCACCACAGGGGCATCGATCTGAGCCTGCTAGCACGATCTGCCCCTGTTCCGCACTGTTGACACGCTACTGGTGTTCCGCACGCTGCACTCAAGTCGACTAACCAATCAACTAACAAGCACCCACCTTGTCACATCCTCCCCGCCCTGCCACCACCAGGGGCATCGATCTAAGTCTGCTGGCACTGGCACAGCGGGACGCGCTACTGGTGTTCCGCACGCTGTACTCAAGCCGACTAACCAATCAACTAACAAGCACCCACCCTGTCACATCACCCTCCCCGCCACCACAGGGGCATGGATCTGAGCCTGCTGGCTCTGGCGCAGAGAGACGCGCTGCTGGTGTTCCGCACGCTGTGCAAGATGGCCATGAAGGACGGCACAGAGGACCTCGTTCTGCGCACCAAGGCGCTTTCACTCCAGTTGCTGCAGGTGGGTGATGGTTGGTCAGCACGTGGTGGGTTATCAGTGCACCTGTGAGGCGCCCCCAGCACGCCACGCTGTGCAAGATGGCCATGAAGGACGGCACTGAGGACCTCGTGCTGCGCACCAAGGCTTTGTCTCTCCAGCTGCTGCAGGTGGGTTGCTGTGCCACGTGCTTGTCTCATAGCTCCTGCAGATGGGAGCGGTGGTCAGCACGTGGTGAGTGGGGTACCAGTGGACCTGTGAGGCGCCACAAAAGGCATCCAGCACGCCATGCCGTGCAAGATGGCGTGCAGCGTATGAGCGGGCGGTGCAGCGTATGAGCGGGCGGTGCAGCGTATGAGCGGGCGGTGCAGCGTATGAGCGGGCGGTGCAGCGTATGAGCGGGCGGTGCAGCGTATGAGCGGGCGGTGCAGCGTATGAGCGGGCGGTGCAGCGTATGAGCGTGCGGTGCAGCGTATGTGCGTGCGGTGCAGCGTATGAGCGTGCGGTGCAATGTATGAGCGGGCGGTGCAGCGTATGAGCGGGCGGTGCAGCGTATGAGCGGGCGGTGCAGCGTATGAGCGTGCGGTGCAGCGTGTGAGCGTGCGGTGCAGCGTATGAGCGGGCGGTGCAGCGTATGAGCGGGCGGTGCAGCGTATGAGCGGGCGGTGCAGCGTATGAGCGGGCGGTGCAGCGTATGAGCGTGTGGTGCAGCGTATGAGCGTGCGGTGCAGCGTATAAGCGTGCGGTGCAGCGTATGTGCGTGTGGTGCAGTTCTCCCCCCTCCACCCTCCACCCTCCACCCTCCCCCCTCCTCCCTCCCCCCTCCCCCTTCCTCCCTCCCCCGTCCCCCTTCCACCCTTCCCCCTCCCCCCTCCCCCCTCCACCCTCCACCCTCCACCCTCCCCCCTCCACCCTCCACCCTCCCCCCTCCACCCTCCACCCTCCACCCTCCACCCTCCCCCTCCACCCTCCACCCTCCACCCTCCCCCCTCCACCCTCCCCCCTCCCCCCTCCACCCTCCCCCCTCCCCCCTCCACCCTCCCCCCTCCCCCCTCCACCCTCCACCCTACCCCCTCCACCCTCCCCCCTCCACCCTCCACCCTCCACCCTCCACCCTCCCCCCTCCACCCTCCACCCTCCCCCCTCCCCCCTCCACCCTCCCCCCTCCACCCTCCACCCTCCCCCCTCCACCCTCCACCCTCCACCCTCCACCCTCCACCCTCCACCCTCCCCCCTCCCCTCTCCCCCCTCCACCCTCCACCCTCCCCCCTCCCCCCTCCCCCCTCCACCCTCCCCCCTCCCCCCTCCACCCTCCACCCTCCCCCCTCCCCCCTCCCCCCTCCCCCCTCCCCCCTCCACCCTCCCCCCTCCCCCCTCCACCCTCCACCCTCCCCCCTCCACCCTCCACCCTCCCCCCTCCCCCCTCCACCCTCCACCCTCCCCCCTCCCCCCTCCACCCTCCACCCTCCCCCCTCCCCCCTCCACCCTACCCCCTCCCGAGGGTCTATTGGACTCAGTGAGCCGCGAGTTCACGCTCAACTTTGCCTTCCTCCACTCCATCAAAATGTACCTCTGCTATGCGCTCGTGCACTAGTGCCCACTCCCCCCCCCACTCCCCCCTCTGGTCCCTCCCCCCCCCCTTCCTCCTTGCAGGGTCTGCTGGACTCAGTGAGTCGCGAGTTCACACTCAACTTCGCCTTCCTCGACTCCATCAAAATGTACCTCTGCTATGCGCTCGTGCTCATGAACCCGTGCGCATTCCCCCCTCCTTTACCCCCTCCCTCCTTGCAGGGTCTGCTGGACTCAGTGAGCCGCGAGTTCACGCTCAACTTCGCCTTCCTGGACTCCATCAAGATGTACCTCTGCTACGCACTCGTGCGTGCCGCCGTCTCCCCTTCCGACCACCACGGCCTAGCCTGCTCCATCTTTGCCACGCTCATCCAGCGCTTCCGCGAGTCTCTTAAAGCCGAGATCGGCCTCTTCTTCCCCCTCGTCGTCCTCCGGTCACTCGACTCCCCGGATATCTCCCCCACCCAACGCCTGGGTCTGCTGAGGGTGCTAGAGCGGCTCACAGCCGAACCACAGCTACTAGCGGATGTTTTCGTGAACTACGACTGTGATTTGGACGCGTCGAATCTGTTTGAGCGCATGGTGACGTCTCTGGAGCGGCTTGCGCAGATGCCTGTGGTGGGGATTGCGGGCGGAGGGGCAGGGGCGGGGGGAGCGGGTGCGGGAGGGGAGGGTGGGGCGGCGTTGGTAGCGGCGGTGAAGCTGGCTGCGTTGCAGTGCTTGGTGAACGTGGTACATGCGTTGGATACGTGGTATGGGAAGGACAAGCCTCCGGTGCCGGTGGGTGCGGCGGGTGGGGAGAAGGAGGAGGAAGGGGACGAGTGGAAGGCGGATGGGTTGGGAGCGGTGGAGGAGGAGGAGGAGGATGAGGATGAGGAGGAGAGGGAGGGGCGGGTGGCGAAGTGGGCGGCGGCAGAATCACAGGCGGATCAGTTTGGGCGGGCCAAGGCGCAAAAGGCAGCGTTTGAGACAGCTGTGGAAAAGGTAGGGTGGGAATCTTCAAAGCAATGGTTAGGTCACAGGCGGATCAGTTTGGGCGGGCCAAGGCGCAGAAGGCAGCGTTTGAGACAGCTGTGGAAAAGGTAGGGTGGGAATCTTCAAAGCAATGGTTGGGTCACAGGCGGATCAGTTTGGGCGGGCCAAGGCGCAGAAGGCAGCGTTTGAGACAGCTGTGGAAAAGGTAGGGTGGGAATCTTCAAAGCAATGGTTAGGTCACAGGCGGATCAGTTTGGGCGGGCCAAGGCGCAGAAGGCAGCGTTTGAGACAGCTGTGGAAAAGGTAGGGTGGGAATCTTCAAAGCAATGGTTAGGTCACAGGCGGATCAGTTTGGGCGGGCCAAGGCGCAAAAGGCAGCGTTTGAGACAGCTGTGGAAAAGGTAGGAGGGAGCAGCAATGAGGCGTGGAGAAGGTTTGGTGTAGATGTGATATGATTTGAATCAAAAGGCAGTAATGGGAATAGCTGTGAAAAATGTTGTTTTGAGGAGCAGGAAGGTACGGTATGGTGCTCATGCCCATGGTTTCAAGTCACCTGCAACAACCTTCTCCCTTACACACACCTCCCCACCACACCTCGCCACCTCTCCCATCACTCCCCACCCTTCTCCCCCACCCAGTTCAACATGAAGCCAGAGAAGGGACTGGCGTTCCTGCGGACGAGAGGGCTGCTGGCTGCCGACGCTGCTGCCACGGCTGAGTTCCTGCGCTCCACTCCTGGGCTCGATAAGGTGAGATGCGGTGTGGAATGGTGTCAGACGATGAAGAGGAGTTGATAAGGTAAGCTGCCTTGCGAAGTTGAGTTGGAGTTGATCAGCTGGCGAGGAGGAACAGCTTCTTGTTCCTGCATGCCTTGGTGGGTGGCACTGGCATGCACGCCTTGGTGGGTGGCACTGGCATGCATGCCGCACAGCCAGCATCTAATACCACGCACACACATCTGCATGAAAAGAGGGTGTTTTTGAGACGTCTCAAATACACCTGCATGCTTTGGTGGGTGGCACTGCCAAGCACACACATCTGTGCTCCACCTCCCCTCCCCTCTCCATGCGTGTCTTTCCTTCCAGACGGCCATAGGGGAGGGGACTATCTGGTCTGGGGCATCACGACGACTATCATCAGGCGGTGATGATGCACGCATATGTGGACAGCATTCCCTTCCACTCCCTCACTCACGACATTCGCCCTCTTCCTTTGATTTTTTTATGTGTGTATGGTGTGTATGTGCTTGCATCTGCCTCCACCAGACGGCCATAGGGGACTACCTGGGCCATCACGACGACTACCACCTGGCAGTGATGCACGCATACGTGGATGGCATCCCCTTCCACAGCACCTCCTTCGACCACGCCATCCGCACCTTCCTCAAGGGATTCCGCCTCCCGGGGGAGGCGCAGAAGATCGATCGCATCATGGAGAAGTTTGCCGAAAAGTGAGTAGCAGTGGGACTTGGTGGCTGATGAGGGTGTGTCTGGTTGGTTATTTATTAACTCTAGAAGCACCTTCCTCAAGGGCTTCTGCCTCCCACGGGAGGCGCAGAAGATCGATCGCAGCATGGAGAAGTTTGCAGAGAAGTGAGTCTTGGTGCTTGACAGACACATGGGATTGACCGATGTGAAGTGTGACCGGGTGGTTGGTTCCTTGGCTGGCCGATTGACTCAAAAAGCGCCTTCCTCAAGGGCTTCTGCCTCCCATGGGAGGCACAGAAGATCGATCGCATTATGGAGAAGTTTGCAGAGAAGTGAGTGGTTGGCTGAGTTGTGAGCCCGGCTTGATAAGAAGTGAGTGAAGGGGTTAGTTAGAGCTTTGGCGGCGTGCCTCTGGAAAGAAGGTGCTTCCGTCTCCCCAGTGCTCATGCTCAACATCCATGCACACAACCCCTCCATGTGTGACGAGGCGATTTGTGAGTCGACTCAAAAATCTCCCCAGTGCTCATGCTGCTCTACATCCATGCACACAACCCCTCCTCTCCACCCCTCTCCCCAGGTACTGCAAGGACAACCCGGGGGTATTCAAAACGGCAGACAGTGCCTACGTGCTAGCTGGCCTATGCAGTGATCATGCTCAACACAGACGCACACAACCCCCCCGCTCCATCCCTCCTTCCCTTCCACCCTCCCCACCACCACCACCACCACCACATCTCCCAGGTATTGCAAGGACAACCCGGGGGTGTTCAAGACGGCAGACAGTGCCTACGTGCTGGCGTATGCAGTGATCATGCTCAACACAGACGCACACAACCCCTCTCCATCCCTCCTTCCCTTCCACCCTCCCCACCACCACCACCACCATCACATCTCCCAGGTATTGCAAGGACAACCCGGGGGTGTTCAAGACAGCAGACAGCGCGTACGTGTTGGCGTACGCAGTGATCATGCTCAACACAGACGCACACAACCCCGTGGTGACCGCCAAGATGACCAAAGCCGACTTCGTGCGAATCAACTCGTCCCTCGAGGGCGAGGAGAGCGCGCCCAAGGAGCTCCTAGAGGCCATTTATGACTCAATAGTCTCCGAGGAGATTAAACTGCGCGATGATGGCGGTCCGGGGGGCGCGGGAGGGGGTGGAGCGGGCGGGGCGGGCGGGAAGGAGAAAGGGCAGCTGGTAACCGTGCTGAATCTGGCGTCGGGGCATAAACGCAGCACGGTGGATGTACGAAAGGAGAGTGACGATATTATCAAGCGAACACAGGCGATTGTGAGGAGAGGGCGGGTGCAGCGCGGGGTGTTTCACTCCGCTGCCCATGCTGACCTCGCTCGGCCCATGCTGGAGGCGGTGGGATGGCCTCTGGTCGCCACGTTTGCTGTGACCATGGAGGAAGGTCCGTCGGGAGAGAGTGCTGCTGCAGTGGCTGCTCTAGCGGCAGGGGGTGCAGGGGGTGGGGGGCCGAAGAGTCTGGTGGTGGTGTGCATGGACGGGCTCCGCTGTGCGATTCACCTGGCGTTTCTCCTGGGCATGGAGACTCTCCGCTACGCTCTCCTGACCTCGCTCGTCCGCTTCACCTTCCTGCACGCGCCGAGGGAACTCCGGGTGAAGAACCTAGAGGCGATCCGGACGCTGCTGGCGATAGCAGAGCAGGAGCCAGAGGCGCTGCAGGACACGTGGAATGCTGTGCTGGAATGCGTGTCCAGGCTGGAGCACGTTGCCACGTCACCTGCCATGCTGGCGGTGCTGGGCGCGCCGCCCGCGCCGGTGGCCGTGAGGGAGGCGCTGCTGGGAGGGGTTGAGGAGCTGGCTGGAAAACCGCTGGAGCAGGTGCGTGGTTTTTTAGTTGACGGGTAATACCTCTTGGAGCGCCACAAAAGGGTAGGGTATACCCTTTGGGGGGCGGTGGCAGTGAGGGAGGCGCTGCTGGGTGGCGTGGAAGCCGCTGGAGCAGGTGCGTGGACGTGGTTGGGCCGTTGGGCCGTGTGAGGTTGTTTCCAGCAAGGTTTGGTTCCTACTTGGTTGGTGATCTCTGCATTGCATTGGTTGTCGCTCAATACTGCCACCTCCCTGTCACCCAATATTTGCCTCTCACCCTCGCCCTGCCTCGCTTTCCCTCCTCCATTGCTTCCATGCCGTGCCACCTGCCACAACAACATCATCTCATTCACCCATCAGGTCTTTGTGGTGAGCTCGCGCTGCCATCAGACGCCGTGGTCGAGTTCTTCATCGCCCTCTCTGCCTCCCATCGCCCCATGCCATGCCACTTGCCACCCATATCCCTCACCTCCCCTCCAGGTGTTGTGGTGAGCTCGCGCTGCCATCAGACGCCGTGGTCGAGTTCTTCATCGCCCTCTCTGCCTCCCATCGCCCCATGCCATGCCACTTGCCACCCATATCCCTCACCTCCCCTCCAGGTGTTGTGGTGAGCTCCCGCCTGCCATCAGACGCCGTGGTCGAGTTCTTCATCGCCCTCTGCGGCGTGTCCGCCGAGGAGCTCCGCCAGTCTTTGCCTCTCATGCATTCCCTCTCTCCGCTCCTACCCACTCCCTTCCTCAGGTCTTTGTCGTGAGTTCCAGGCTCCCATCAGACGCAGTGGTCGAGTTCTTCATCGCTCTTTGTGGTGTGTCCGCAGAGGAGCTCCGCCAGTCACCCCCGCGGGTCTTCTCACTGCAGAAGATTGTGGAGATCTCATACTACAACATGACTCGTATTCGAATGGTACGTTGCGAGTGGACGCATGTGTGTGTGGCTGGGGCCTACAGGGCACTTCAGTTGAGCTCTCCCCAGCACTCAAAGGCCCCCACTGGTGGGTCTTCTCACTGCAGAAGATCGTGGAGATCTCCTACTACAACATGACTCGCATCCGCATGGTGTGTGTGGGATCCATTAGAGTCTGGTGGGCGTCAGCGTGGTGTGTCTGGCTGGGTGGGGGATTTTGGAGTCAAGATTCGCTTTGAGTCGACTCAAAAGTCGCTTTGAGCCGACTTAAAAGTCTTTCAGGGATGCGCGTCAGAGTGGTGTGTCTCGGCGGTTGGGTGCTTGTCACGCGCATCAGATTGGTCTGTCATCTCATGTGGGGGACAAAGCATGTCTTGCAGTGGCACCATTGAAGCTCTTTCAGCTGGAAATTTTTCCCTCTCCCGTGCCCCGCAGTGGAAATTCTCTTTCACCACATCTGGGTGGTGCTGCTGGAACTGTGTTGAGACGTCAACTCCCTCCCGTCTTTTTCCCTTTTCCCCTCCCCTCGCTCCCTCCCCCATGCAGGTGTGGGCGCGCATCTGGTCGGTCGGTGCTGGCAGTGCATTTCATCACGGCAGGTCACAGCCCCGATGAGCACATCGCCATGTATGCCATCGTGGCGACTCCTTCCGCCGGCCGGCGCTCCATCACCAGGAGCACACTAGGTCGCTGCTTTGAACCATCTCCAACCACCCCCCTCTTCTCTTTCTCCCCTCTTCCCCCACTTTCCCCCTTCCTGTCTCCTTCCTCTTCCCCACCTCCCCTCCCCCCCCATGCAGGTGTGTGCGCGCATCTGGTCAGTGCTGGCAGTGCACTTCATCACGGCGGGTCAGAACCCTGACGAGCACGTCGCCATGTACGCCGTCGACTCCATCCGCCACCCCACGCCCTCAACTCAACTACCTGGCCGGTGCACCTAAAGCCTACGCCATCTGGCCTGTTTGAGGCGCTCAACCCCCCCCTTTCACCCGTTTCCCCTTTTCCTCCTCCTCCCCTCTCCCCCCCCTCTCCCCACTTCGCCTTCCCCCCAACCCTCTCCATGCAGGTGTGGGCGCGCATCTGGTCGGTGCTAGCGGTGCATTTCATCACGGCGGGGCAGAACCCCGACGAGCACGTCGCTATGTACGCCGTCGACTCCATCCGCCAGCTGGCGCTGAAATATCTGGAGCGCGCTGAGCTGGCGCGCTTCACGTTCCAGAACGACATCCTGAAGCCGTTTGTGGTGCTCATGCGCACGAGCCGCAGCGAGAAGACAAGGGAACTCATCGTGCAGTGCGTCGTGCAGGTAAGAGTCATTCCAGTTGTGAGCATCTGTTCTCTGTCTCTGTACACCCCTGTTTCTGGTGCTCATGGGCACAAGCCGCATCGAGAAGACAAGAGAGCTTGGTGTTCAGTGTTTGTCATCCCCTCCTCGCTGCACCTTCCACGGAGCCCTTGTTCTCACCTCTCCAATTTCTCTTTCAATATGTGCCTGCTCTGTTCCACCATCAGATGATAAAGGTGAAGGTGGGTGGCATCAAGAGCGGGTGGCGCAGTGTGTTCATGGTGCTCACCACTGCTGCCACCGACAGCCACTAGCTTGCCGTCCCCTGCCCCTCCTCCTCACCTCCCACCCAACCCTTCCTCTTACTTCCCTCTCCCCCGCCTCTCTCTTCTCCGCTCGCCTGAACCAACCACAGATGATAAAGGTGAAGGTGGGCGGCATCAAGAGCGGGTGGCGCAGTGTGTTCATGGTGCTCACTACTGCCGCCACTGACAGCCACGAGCCCATTGTGGAGAGCGCGTTTGAGACCGTGGAGCAGGGTGAGTGTGACAGGGGGAGTTGAAGTGAGCTAACATAGCATGCTGGGTGTTGCTGCCCGTATAGCCTGAGGCATGCTGCCACCGACAGCCACGAGCCCATTGTGGAGAGCGCCTTTGAGACCGTGGAGCAGGGTGAGTGTGGGAGGGAGAGCTGAATATAACATGCTGGGGGTTTCTGCCTGTATAGCTGAATCTAACATGATGCTACTGACAGCCACGAGCCCATTGTGGAGCACGATGAGATGAGTGGACGTGAATGTAGGGCGAGTAAAGGACGTTGACTAGAGGCTAGAGAAATGCTGGAGGGAGCAGCTTGACTAGCTGTTGTTAGGCGACTGCTTCATGTACTGCATCAACTGCCCCATGGCCTCCGTTCCTCCTCATCTGCCTGTTCCCGTCTCTCTCACCAATTATCACCCCTTCCTTATGCCCCTTCGGCCCCTTCCTGCTCAACTGTCTCTTTCACCCCACCACCAGTGGTACTGGAGCATTCGAGCAGGTGATAGGAGACGGTTTCAAGGAGTGCGTCCATTGCCTCATGGCCTCCTTTCCTCCGCACCCCTCATTGCCTTCTCTCTTCCCCCTCTGTCTATCTCTTCCACTTCTCCCTCCACAGTGGTACTGGAACACTTTGAGCAGGTGATAGGCGACTGTTTCATGGACTGCGTGAACTGCCTCATGGCCTTCGCCAACAACGTCCTCGTGCCCCGCATCTCTCTCAAAGCCATTGCACTCCTCCGTATCTGCGAGGACCGTTTAGCAGAGGGCCGGGTCCCGGGAGGCGCCCTGCGCCCCGTGAATGAAGGCGAGAAGATGAGCGACAATGAGGTGGCGGAGTATTACTGGTTCCCGATGCTCGCCGGGCTGTCGGAGCTGACTTCCGACCCTCGTCCGGAGGTTCGGAGCTGCGGCGTGGAGGTTCTGTTTGATCTGCTTCGGGAGAGGGGGCATAAGTTTTCGACACGGTTCTGGGAGAGTGTGTTTGAGAGGGTGCTGTTCCCCATCTTTGACTATGTGCGGCACGCCGGCACGGATGGGGAGAGGCCGCCCCCCACGGACCTGTGGCTGAGAGACACGTCCATTCACTGCCTGCACCTGCTCTGCGACCTCTTCTGTGATTTCTATAAGGTGGGTTGGTAGGGGTTCAGGTGCGGTACAGTGTGGTACAGATGGGGAGAGGCCTCCTCCCACGGACCTCTGGCTGAGAGACACGTCCATTCACTGCCTGCACCTGCTCTGCGACCTCTCCTGCAACTTCTACCAGGTGGGTTGGTAGGGCTTCAGGCTCTTTACTGTGTAGCCAGTCTGGTAGCTGCTCTGCTACTCTGATCTGATCTCTGGATGTGATACACGTCCATCCACTGCCTGCACCTGCTCTGCATTATTTGAGGAAACTACTCCCTCCCCACCCCTCCGCCCCCTCCCCCCGTCACCCTCAGGACGTGGCCTTCATCCTGCCGTCCCTCCTCGGCCTCCCCCTCGACTGTGCCACGCTCATTCTGAGCTTCATTCTCCCATCTTACTCACATCACAACCTACACCCCACACCCCCTACCACCCCTACACCCCTCCCCTCAGGACGTGGCCTTCATCCTGCCGTCCCTGCTTGGTCTCCTGCTCGACTGTGCCACGCGCCCCGACCAGTCACTGGCAGCCATAGCGGTGGGAGCACAGCTGAGGCTCATCGACAGGGGGGCGCCGCTCTTCTCCTCTCGGGATTGGGCCGTGCTTCTTGACAGCCTCAGGTGGGGTGCTGGGTTGGACATGGCATGGCAGTGGGTACACAGGGGGGGGTGTGTGGGGAGCACAGCTGAGGCTCATCGACAGGGGGGCGCCGCTCTTCTCCTCTCGGGATTGGGCTGTGCTTCTTGACATCCTCAGGTGGGGTGCTGGGTTGGACATGGCATGGCAGTGGGTACACAGGGGGGGGTGTGTGGGGAGCACAGCTGAGGCTCATCGCCAGGGGGGCGCCGTTCTTTTCTTCAAGAGACTGGGCCGTGCTGCTTGATAGTCTCAGGTGGGTTGCTGTTCTGTGCGTTGGTGGGGTGCTGTGTGGGAGGGATGAACAGCCTTGGGTGGGGTGCCGGGTTGGCCTGGCAATGGGTGCACACGGGAGGGCGTGCGTGGATGGGAGTGCGGCCAGTCACTGGCGGCCATAGCGGTGGGAGCACAGCTGAGGCTCATCGACAGGGGGGCACCGCCCTTCTCCTCAAGAGACTGGGCTGTGCTGCTTGATAGCCTCAGGTGGGCCTTGCTGTTCAACAGTCCATCCCCTCCCGATCACCACCCCCACCCCTACCCCCATCCCCATCCCCATCCCCATCCCCATCCCCATCCCCATCCCCATCCCCATCCCCATCCCCATCCCCATCCCCATCCACTTTCAATCAAAGTAGCACTTGCCCTTTTGAAACTCTTGCAATTATAGTAGCCTCGCTTGCTGCTTCTGCTGCTTCCAAACGTTCTACTCTACCCACCTTTTCCCCTCCCCGCCCACCTCTTTCTTTCCCCTCCACTCCCTACCCTTCCCCTTCGCATCCCATCCCTCCCACACACGATTCTCTATCAAAGTTTCCGCTCCAATCGCTCACCCCACCAAGCTCCTTGCAATCATTGAAGCCTATCTCGCTGCACCTGCCTCGTCCATACGTCTTACCCACCTTCACCCCTCCCAACCCATCTTCTTCTCTCCCCACCCACCCACATCTTCCCTCCCCACCCACCCACATCTTCCCTGCCCCACCCCACCCACGATTCTCTTTCAGAGTTGCTACGCTAACCACTCGCCCCACCGAGCTCCTCGCAATCACCGAAGCCTATCTCTCTGCTTCTGCCTCCTCCATACCTCCCCACCCACCTTCTTCCCTCCCCACCCCTCCCCACCCCTCCCCACCCCTCCCCACCCCTCCCCACCCCTCCCCACCCCAGAGTTGCTACGCTAACCACTCGCCCCACCGAGCTCCTTGCAATCACCGAAGCCTCCCTAGCTGCTTCTGCCGCTGCCACCGCCACCGCCGCTGCTGCTGCTGGTGACACCGCTGCTGCCAACGCCGCCACTGCCGCTGCGACTGCTGAGCTGTCACTGGACAACGCTGTGCTGGAATCCGGCGCTGCTGACCTGGCGGATCATGCGTCAGGCTCGGCAATCCGTACCAAGATTCCCACTGGTGACGTGGCGACGAGCCTGATGGGTCCGAACCTGAGTGAGAGGGTCGTGGCCGTGCCTGGAGGTGTGACCGTAACCGAACAAGTGACCGAAGTGGATGTGACTGTAACGGAGGGAGGAGAGGGTAACGGGGTGGTGGACAGGAGTGGGGCGGAGGAGGAGGAGGCGAGTGGTGGGGAGGGGAAGGGCGAGGAAGAAGGAAAGGTGGAAGGGGAGGGGTTGGCGAATGGGGAGGGGACTGCCATCAAGCCTTCAGGTGAGTGCAGCTAGCAACCCTTGTTATGTTTCCCCAGACCACACACCCACACACAACCAGGTGACCACTGCTACCACGCCTGCACAGCTTCCATCACCCCCACAGCAGCCTAGTTTTGAGGCCCCTCGTTTTGAGGCGCCTCAAAAGTAGTTTCCCCAGAGCACGCACCCACACACAACACAACCAGGTGCCCACTGCTACCACAGCTGCACAGCTTCCATCCCCCCAACAGTAGCCTCAGCGGGCAAGTTGGTCAGTCTCAGAGAATTGTGCAGTCCCCGCTCTCTCCCTCCCTCTCCTCCCCCTCAGTGTTGAAGTGCTGTCCCCATTCCAACTGCTCCTGGCGCTGCAATGAACGTTCTGTCCCGCTCTCCCTCCCTCACTCCCTTCTTTTGAGACGTCTCGAAACTCCCCCACAGTGTTGAAGTGCTGCCATTCCACTGCTCCTGGCGCTGCAGTGAACGGTTCTGGCCTGCTCTCCCTCCCTCCCTCCCTTCTTCCCTGCTCCTTTTCCATCCCCCTTTCTTTCTCAGCATCAGCCGAGGGGGACAACTTTGGGAAGCGCTTGATGGACAAGCTGCTGCTGCTGCTGCTGCTGCTGCTGCAGCTGTTAGTGCTTCTTCTTTTGTTGGTGCTGCTATGCCAAAATTCTTGCCTTTCCCACTCCCTCCCACGCCTTCCCCCCTCCCAGCATCAGGTGAGGGCGACAACTTTGGGAAGCGCCTGATGGACACGCTGCTGCTGCGAAACCTCTCCATGGCGCTGGGAGGCGCCCCCACGCCCGCTGCTGCTGTTGTTGCTGCAGCCACTGTTGGTGGTGCTGCTGCTGCTACGCTGACAGACCTGCCTCTCCCACTCCCTGTCCCCACTCCACTCCACCCACCTCCAGCATCAGGCGAGGGCGACAACTTTGGCAAGCGACTGATGGACACGCTGCTGATGCGCAACCTCTCCATGGCTCTGGGGGGCGCCCCCACGCCCGCTGCCGGCGGGGGCGGCAGCATGAGCATCTGGTCGCGAGCCTCCAACGCAAGTGACGCTGCCCTGGCCTCTGCTGTCGAATCCGAGGTGAGTGTGTGCCGGATCTTGCCAGTGCCTGTAAGTATTCAAAGCCTCTCCATGGCTCAAGGGGGCATGCCCACGTGCGCACTTGCGCTGCTGCTAGCGGGGGTGGCAGCATCTGGTCACAAGCCTCCAACGCCAGTGACGCTGTGGAATCCGAGGTGAGTGCGTGCTGGAATCCGAGGTGAGTGCGTGCTGGAATCCGAGGTGAGTGCGTGCTGGAATCCGAGGTGAGTGCGTGCTGGAATCCGAGGTGAGTGCGTGCTGGAATCCCCGCTGTTCTTGCTGCAGGCGTGTGACGGATTGCCACACGGCCCATAGCTTTGGAAATCTCTCCATGGCGCTGGGGTGGGGACGCCCCCAGGCCTGCTGGCGGTGGTGGCAGCATGAGCATCTGCCCAGGTGACTTTTGAGTCGACTCAAAAGTCACCTCGTTACTGTGGCAGCATGAGCATGAGCATCTGCCTGTGAACCTCCAGCGCCAGTGATGCTGCTCTGATCCGTCCATCACTATAAGCCTTTTCCCAATCCCCTCTCTTTTATGCTTTCACAGGAGCAAGGCGATGGGGCCAAGGAAGAAGAGGAGGAGGAAGAGGAGGACGAGGAGGCATCGGCCTTCCCGGTGGCAGACCCTGTGCGGGTCAAGTGCTACACGCAGCTGCTGCTGCTGGGGGCGCTGAATCAGCTACAGGTGCGTGTGGGAGGTTAAGGTTCATCCGAGGGTGGGTCTGCATGTATGAATGAAGGGCATTCCCCGTGGCGGACCCTGTGCGAGTCAAGTGCTACACGCAGCTGCTGCTGCTGGGGGCGCTGAATCAGCTACAGGTGCGTGTGGGAGGTTAAGGTTCATCCGAGGGTGGGTCTGCATGTATGAATGAAGGGCATTCCCCGGGGCGGACCCTGTGCGAGTCAAGTGCTACACGCAGCTGCTGCTGCTGGGGGCGCTTAATCAGCTACAGGTGCGTGTGTGCTCAGTGTAGGTGCACTATGGGATGGCTCGTGTGGTTCCATCATGTGTGGCGATCTGGATCCTGTGCGGGTCAAGTGCTACACGCAGCTGCTGCTGCTGGGGGCGCTTAATCAGCTACAGGTGTGTGGGGGGGGTCAAGATTCATTCGAGGGCGTGTATTCATCCGACGTTGTGCATTCATGTCATGTGTAATCGATATCCCTGTGGCACACCCATACTCCCCATGTTCCCCATGTGTCCCATGTCCTGCTCTTGGGTGCTCTCCCCATGCGTACCTCTCGCCGCACCTCTCGCCCCACCTCTCGCCGCACCTCTCGCCGCACCTCTCGCCCCACCTTTCGCCGCACCTCTCACCGCACCTCTCGCCCCACCTCTCGCCGCACCTCTCGCCGCACCTCTCGCCGCACCTCTCGCCGCACCTCTCGCCGCACCTCTCGCCGCACCTCTCGCCCCACCTCTCGCCGCACCTCTCGCCGCACCTCTCGCCCGTCCAGGAAAAGCACTGGCATCGCCTGCGGGCGGCGCACCGGCGGCAGCTATTGGACTGCATCGCCACCAGCATTGACTTTGCCGCCCGCTTCAACTCCGACACGCACCTGCGCATGCGCATCCAAATGCTGCCGCCCGAACGGTGCGCTACCCCCCATGATTCTTGCTCGCTGCCTCAGTGCTGCTGGTAGTGTCCCAATTTCTGTCACAACATGAGGACTTGTATTGCAACTCCCGGTCGTCTTCTCTCCCGCGTTTTCCCCCACAAACAACCCCATCCGTTTCTGGCTCTGCTATTTCTGCCACTTAAGAACCTGCAGCTTCACGATTCCCCTTGGGTTCTCCCACCCTTGCAGGCTGCCGCTGTCCCTGCTGCTGCAGGAGGTGACAACAATGCAGCCTTAACTGATTGTTCTTATTCACCGCCTGAACAACATATGGGATGATTCTTCCATTCTCCCGACACGCCCTTTTTGCAGCCCTCCCCCATCGCTGTTGCAACGCAGCTCTACCTGATTGTGCTGCTGCGCTGCCTGAACGACTCAAGCACTCTCCCTCCTCCCTCATTGCCTTGTCCCCACCCCCACCCCACCCCCACCCTTCCCCCCCTTTTCACCTCACAACAGCCCTCCGCCATCCCTCCGACAGGAGGTGACAGCAACGCAGCTCTACCTGATTGAGCTCTTGCACTGCCCCGCCATCGCTCACTCTTCCCTACTATGCCTTCTCCCCCCTCCCTCCTTCCGTTGTCCCCCACTCCTTCCTCCCCTTAACCCCACCCTTTCAGCCCGCCCCCGTCCCTGCTGCACCAGGAGGTGACAGCAACGCAGCTCTACCTGGTTGTGCTGCTGCGCTGCCTCAACAACCTCTCTCTCTCTCTCTCTCTCCCTGCTCTCTCGCCCCTCCCTCCTTGCTTTGTCCTTCCACTCCCCCATTCCGTGAACCCCACCCTTTCAGCCCTCCGCCATCGTTGCTGCGCCAGGAGGTGACAGCAACGCAGCTGTACCTGATTGTGCTGCTGCGCTGCCTCAACGACCCCACTCTTTCCCCCCTCCCTACCGTGCCTTGTCCCCCATCCCCCACCCTATCCCCGCGTTTCCCCTCCAAACAGCCCTCCCCCATCCCTGCTGCGCCAGGAGGTGACAGCAACGCAGCTGTACCTGATCGTGCTGCTGCGCTGCCTCAACGACCCGGCAGCAGCGCTGCTCCCACCAGCCCTCTCCTCCCAGATGCTGCTGCAGTCGGGGGCAGCCCATGGGGACGGCGCAGGGGAGGGGGAGGAGCACGTGCATGGGAAGCCAACCCCTGGAGCAGCAGCGGCAGAAGGGGGGAGAGCAGCAGCAGGAGCAGGGGTGGGAGCAAACGGGGGAGCTGCGGCGAAGGGGGGAGCAGCAGGGGGTGGGGAAGAGGGAGAGGGGGGTGAAGAGGAGGAGGAGGAGAGGAGGCGGTTGGGGGAGGAGGCGGAGGAGCAGTTGCTGCGGGTGTGTGGGAGGGTGCTGGAGATGTCGTCTCGTCTGCAGCCCAACACGGGGCAGGCTGTAGAGGCCGAGGTGCATCGCCTGCTTGCCCTCCGTGCGCCTGTTGTTGCCAGAGTAAGTGTGGGAATAAGGAAGGGAATGAGGGGGGTTGTGTGGGAGGGTGCTGGAGATGTCGTCTCGTTTGCAGCCCAACACGGGGCAGGCTGTCGAGGCCGAGGTGCATCGCCTGCTTGCCCTCCGTGCGCCTGTTCTTGCCAGAGTGAGTGAGGGAGGGAGGGAGGGAGGGAGGGAGGGAGGGAGGGAGGGAGGGAGGGAGGGAGGGAGGGAGGGAGGGAGGGAGGGAGGGAGGGAGGGAGGGAGGGAGGGAGGGAGGGAGGGAATGTGCTCGTTGCTCCCGCTTCAAGTTCCGCTCTTCTCATGCTCTCGCCTCTTCTCCCTGCAATTACGAAGTCACTTTTTGGGGCACCTCATAACGCGTCTCAAAAGCTTCTTGCGTTTACCCATCTGCACCCTCTTTTGCACACAATTTCTTGGTTCACACCACTTGGAGTGTCACTTGTATGCTCCGCCTTATTCTGAGTGTGTCACGCCATATTCCATGATGTCAGGTGCTGTCAGTGCTGAGTCAAAAAGGTGTGTCATCTGTATGCCCCACCTTAGTCGGAATGTGTCACACCATGTTATGTGCCCCACCACACCATCCCCCCAGGTGCTGTCGGCGCTGAGTCAGATGGACGTGGCTCGCTTTGAGCGCTTCGTGCCGCACCTCTACCCGCACTGCACCCGCCTCATCTGCTCCGACCAGGTATCACCTCCCCCGGTAGGTCCTTTCCATTCCAGGTACCACCTCCCACAGTAGCTCGCTTCGAGTGCTTTGTGCCGTACCTCTATCCGCACTGCACCCGCCTCATCTGCTCTGACCAGGTATCACCTCCCCCGGTAGGTGCTTTCACAGGTATCCCCTCCCCTCAAAAGCTCGTATCCCGGTGCCACCTTCCTCCAGTACGTTCTTTACCGGTACTTTAGGGTTAGGGTCTGCTGACAGTATCACCTCCCGGGTAGGTTTCGATATATACATACAATATTTACAACCTACCTCAGTCCGTTTCTCCTCTTTACCACCTCCCCCATGTTCTGCTGCATTGACGGTTTTCGAAATCTTGACTGATTGGTCTCACTCACTTGTGCTCCTCTCCGCTATTTCCTCCCCCACTTCGCTGCTGCTCTCCCCTGTCCTTCCTTCTTGCCTGTCCTATCGTCGTAACACTGGCGCTCAATCATCCCTCACCCCTCCTGCATGCCTCCCTCGCACCCCTCCTTGCCCCCCTCCTCTTGTGCATCTCTCACCATCAGGTGGAGGTGAGGAAGGCCCTTGGCGACCTCTTCAAGGCCCGTCTCACTCTTCCCTCCCACCCTCCCGCATGCCTCCCTCTCACCCCTCCGTGCCTCTTCCCCTCTGTATCTCCCACCGACCAGGTGGAGGTGAGGAAGGCCCTTGGCGACCTCTTCAAGGCCCGCCTCACTCCTCTTATTCCTGGGTCTGATGCACCTTCACCTCCCATGACGGCTTCCGCGTAACAATGTTGCTCATGTTATTTACTGCTTATATTCCAACCCGTTGCATGGTTCACTCTCTCTCGCTACAGTCAATTATGAGCCATGCGTGATGGGATTTAATTTCTATGCTGGCATGGAAAGGCAACCCCAGATTGGTAGATGGAATATGCCTTTTTGTTTCATGAAATGCTCAGACGAGGCCATAGTGTACTAGTGTCTGAGAAATGTGTTCCTGGTCTGATAAATATGTTCCTGTTGACATGGATGGTGTCTCTGAACTGTTATTCAATTTTGTGAAGGTGGCGTGTAACGCTTCTGTGTCCGAAGAAGGCAGACATACTTGCAACCGATCAGCTTGTAAGGGTAATTGACGCGACAACGGAGCAGATCAGCAACTTGATTGCCGAGTCCAGATGCAATTCTTCTCACCATGACTCAGGTGCACTGGATTGGTGCTTGTCCTTTCTTGTTTTGGCTGTCCTGCTCTATGCAACAGTACAATACTGTACACGTTGTACATTCGGAGAAAAACACATGAAATGAAACATGCAATTCCAAACCTTGACCTGGGCTGTTTTTCACCTTGGGTTCCGTGTGATTGCTCAATCAGAACCGCCGTTGCTGCATCATCCCCCATGTTCTTCCAGCTGATTGGGCCCCACCATCACTCAAAGCCTCCGCATTAAATGCCAGCAAGGAGGTGAGCATTTAATGCCTTCGCCTACGAACAGACTGTAGACAGCACGCCAATTTAATCACGTGGAACCTTCGTCTGGAAGAAGCAACACGTGGCTTTCACAATGATGGTTCGGTGCCACCACGCCCCAACCGACCCGATGCGCTTGCATGTGCGCTTCTCTCCACGCTGGTTGGTTTCTTCGATGTTCCTTCTTGAACGAGCGGGCCCACTCCACTTCACCATCTCCAAGCGTACACGACAAGCATCGACGCTTGCTTCCCCGGCTACTGTGGACAGCACTCATACATTCCCCACTTCCCCCCCCACCCCCCCCTCCCGCTCTCCCCCCCCCCACCCCCCCTCCCGCTCTCCCCCCCCCAACACCGATCCCGCCCGCCCCGCCAGCTTCCATTGTCACCAGAAGATCTGCGAAACGTCACGTGCTCACGAAACTTTCGTACAGTCGCTGATTCGCCACATCCATACAGGCGGATCGCGTGTTCAAGTCCACACCACATTGACGCATTCTTCTGGGCGGAGATAGCGCTACACTCACAAACATTCCGTCTTATAATCTTACATATGAACCCAATCATCCAGTACATACTATGCATTGGGTGCATGTTCCCTGATTTTTTTGCTGGCAAGCAATAAATTTGTTTGCATTACCAGAAGACAACAAACAATCACTCAATCCTAATGGTCACATCATGAGTTCAAGTCGTGGGGAAAGCCCTTGTCTTGGCTCTTGCCCAAGCCTAGGCCAAGCTCCAAACCAACAGTGGGAGCAGGCGGCACCAGGGGAGTTGGGCAGGCATCTTCTGTCTTAAGAAAACTATCGGAAGGAATAAGTTCTCGTGACGGAACCCCCGCCGCCGACTCCAACTGTCCCCTCTCGCCGCCACTCCCACCAAAACAATGTGCATAGGCATTTCCCTCCGCATGTATTATCCTGGTCAATATTTCCACATTGTGCGAAGCATGCACCACATCTGCATGCGGTGAGCCCAATGCCGCAACTTCCCCCAATTGCTTACTCACTGCTGCACCCTGAAGCGACGGCGTCAAACCACCATGCGTGGCAATTCCAAGTCGGTGCAGCAAACTGCCTCCCATGGGGACCTGTTGTGTTTCCATGGGGAAATTCTCCCTCTCAGTGGGGTTCTGCAGCCTTCCACTTGCTGTGCGAGGTCTCGCTTCAACAAAACCAGCCGTCACGCCGGCCTGTGCAGTCCCTGCTGCCCCCGTGCCCTCCTGAGGTAGGTACGAGGCACCCATGGTGACCTGGCTACTAGGCACAGTTCCATGCTGGAGAGGTCCCGTTGTTGGCAGAAGAACTGGCTGTGCTGAATAACGCTCGTGGGGTGCAGATGCGTTGAATATTGACGTTGCAATTGGCGCGGGTGGTGTTACGCTTGCTGTGGCGCCGGCTTGTGGGTTGGATTGTGCGGCCCTTATTTGCTGGGCGAGGTAGCCGATCACGCTCTTCCACTGCTGTTGCTGCTGCTGTTGCTGCTGCTGTTGCTGCTGCTGTTGCTGCTGCTGTTGCTGCTGCTGTTGCTGCTGCTGTTGCTGCTGCTGTTGCTGCTGCTGTTGCTGCTGCTGTTGCTGCTGCTGTTGCTGCTGCTGTTGCTGCTGCTGTTGCTGCTGCTGTTGCTGCTGCTGTTGCTGCTGCTGTTGCTGCTGTTGCTGTTGCTGCTGCTGCTGCTGCTGATGCAATTGCATGATCCGGAGTAGCTGCATCTGTTGGTTATCCATCTGCGGCATTTGATGCTGTGATTGATGCAGGGATTGTTGCAGGGATTGTTGCAGGGATTGCTGAGGGGATTGATGCAGGGAATGATTCACAGATTGCTGCTGGGGAAGGGGTGGGGAAAGGCGCTGGTGCTGGAATTGAGGTTGCTGGATCGCTGGTAGCAGGGGAAAGTTCTCCGTGATTCGATTCGGCGCGTCCGAGCCACATACATCCATTGGCGGCGTTTTTGCCTCACTCATGTACCCTTGCTCTTTCTGCCCTTGCTGCTGCACTGCCTGCAGCGCTGCCTGTATCGCATGCAGCCCTGGCTGCTCTGCCTGTCCTGCAGCCTGCACAGCCTGCCCTGCCTGTATCGCTTGCGGCGCTCGGGGCTCTTTCCTTTGCGCGCCCCCCCGCACATCCGCGGAGCCTCCGCTCCGCTGTCTCTTCCTTGTAGTAGCGCCCGCGGGACGACCTCCCACCTCATCCTCCGGAGTTTTGGTCGCACTGCCAGACTGATTCTGATTTCCTGATCGAGCCGCCTCGGAAGTTTCGGTGATTCCAGCGACACCGCCGGGAATTACGGCGTTGATTGCGGGTGAGGCCTGGTCCAGAAGCCACTGGATCGTCTCGCCGTCCGATCGGTGTCCCAGGACCCGCGTCAGCTGGAAAATCTGCGACGCGCACGCCGCCGGCATGCGAATACGACGGCCTCTGCCGTCCACCTTCCGGTGCCTGTCTCTCCGCTTCGTCCCTGTCGGGTCTGGCCCGGAATCGTCTTCCGCTCCTTCCGCTTCCGCCTCTCCGTCCCCATCCGCCTCCGCCTCCGCCACCTCCGCCGCCTCCTCCCGCTCGTCCTCTCCCGAGAGCTGCGTTCCGCCGCCACCGCCACCCTGCGACGGCGAGCTGCGTCGTTCGATGACGCCGGCTGTGCGAACGGTACCGTGGGGATGGGCGACAGTGCGATTGCCTTTGCTGTCGCCTGGCGACGGAGGATCTTGGCCTTCGGACTGGCCAAGCAGCTGACTAGAATCAATTTCGGCTTGAGGCTGACGTTCGCGAAATGAGCGTTTTTTCGTGGTCGGAGTCTGTGCGTCGCCCGTGAGGGGCGGCAACGGGCTGTTGCTCATGACGGCGTTTGCAAACTTCGCAACGTGGGCGTTCGCGAAAGCCTCACTGGGTTGAACTCGAGGCAAGAATGGGCTCATGTCACTCGCGCCGCACTTCCACTCCAGCCGTAAATCGGGTGAAGCAGTTGCAGCTTCGTTCACCGACGACGCAAATTATGGCCACCCTTACACAACGACCAAAGAGCCTCACATTCGTGTAATTGTGAAAGTCGTGGTCGGGCGAAGCGAATGAAACAGCCCAAAAACAACTCTATGATCTGTTCCCTATGGGCAATTGAATGTCATTTGTTCAGTTTATTAGCCGCGGGCTAACAGCAGAACTGGGAGGAAAGAGTGGGAAGACCAACAAGAATTTGGCTGTTTCATTCGCAACAGCTGTCGAAGATGTTACGGAAGTGTACGAAGAGAGGATGGTGTATCAGTAAGCGAGCGTAAGAAGAAGTTACCCCTAACCTCATGTTTTTCGCAAGCGTCTGAGCATCCATCTTCTTCTGCTCCGCATCCTCAGGAGTTCGCTAACGTGGGTCTACATCCCAAATCGCGACGAGATTCTCTATCCGTCCACCTGAAACCACCTCTCCTTTCACCACTCTATTTCCTCCGCCGCTCCGTCCCCTCCCCGCTTCATCCCCTTCCCCCACCTACACCCACCCCAAGTTCCCCTCCCCCTCCCCAGCTCCACCCAGGTTCCGCCAGCTGGTCTGGGTGGTTCGCGTCACGTGTCACTGGACCCACAGCCGCACACAGTGACACAGCATCTCACCTACCACACGGATGAACTTGTGTACAGTAAAACTGTACTGTACTGGAGACAAGGGAGGTGTGAGTGATGATGTCAACGACAGCACGGACGGACAAGTGGATTCATGTCCAGGCAAGTCAGCGAAATCATGAGACGACTTCACGCTTCCAAAAACGACAAAGAGGCGTAGGCGGTGACAATAATTTACGCACCAACCTAGCAGCCAGCTGGAACGGCAGACATCCTCCGCATTCACTGCTCTCGTGCAACTGATCCCACCGTACAGTAACAATGGACCCCCCTCCTGCTTGTCTTGCTCACAAAACATCACTCGCCAACAGGAAGGCTCGAAGTGAGAATGACGTTACATTTCTGATCAAGTGTACAGTAGTTTGTTCGCTTCTCCATGTTGCTCATATCTTTCATACACCTACTACGCGAAATGCAAAATGGCCTACAAAACCAGGGCAATTTCCCTGTCAACTAAATTCCAGAGGCGCCAGGAAATTGGCAGCCCATATTCTACCCAGAACAGCTCAACACAACGCAATATGTTATGAGTTGTAAAAGAGAGTGCGCAGAATAACGAATAACGAGAATGATTGATTACTGAGTCGATACAATGAAAGAGACGAGGCCTAAATAGGGGAAAAGCTAGCTAGGCGGGGAGGTCGGGAAAGGATGGCTCGGTGATGGTTGCGATTGGTGCGGAGGCGACTCGGGGGTGGTTCGGTG